AGGGACAGAGCTGCTCGCACCATTACACTTTCACAGTCGCACATGGTGCAGCAGGTCCTTCAGCGGTTCGGGCTTCAGCACTCCACAGTACAGCGCACACCTCTTGCTGTTGACCACAGACTCACTGGACCCTTTCCTGACGAGCCGTTCGAGCCTAGTGGTCCCTACGCAGAGCTTGTGGGTTGCCTCATGTACCTGATGACTTGTACTCGCCCGGACCTCGCCTTCCCTCTCAGCGTTCTTGCGCGCTTTGTTGCGCCAGGGAGACACCGTCCTGTTCACTGGACAGCAGCTGTGAGGGTGGCGAAGTACCTAGCGACGACGTCAGGCGTGGGGCTAGTTCTTGGAGGGCAGCAGTCTGTCGTACTTACTGGTCACTGTGACTCCTCTTACGCTGACGACGCTGAGACTCACAGGTCTACTCAGGGGTACTGTTTCAGCCTGGGTTCTGGAGCTGTTTCCTGGCGGTCCACGCGCTCCTCTTCGGTCTCGACCTCTACAGCTGAGGCTGAGATCTACGCTGGTGCCATGGCGGCACAGGAGCTGCGTTGGTTGACCTTCTTGCTCACCGACCTTGGTGAGCGGCCGAGCTCTGCACCGACCTTGTTCACTGACAACAAGGCGTCTATTCTCCTTTGTCGAGAGCCACGACTGGAGAGCAGAGTGAAGCACATTCACGTCAGGTACTTTCTTCTGCGAGAGTTGCAGAGGCGTGGACAGGCTCGCTTTGAGTTTGTGGAGTCCGAGGCCAACACTGCAGACATCTTCACCAAGGCGCTTCCGCCTTGTGACCACCAGAGGTGCTGTGTGCAGTTAGGCCTTGTTGACACTGGTTCTCGTGTTGCTTAGACTTGAGTGTACTGTTTACTTTGCTTTCTATATACCTCTGTTACTTCTTGGACTGGCCTTGTGGCCACTGTTGTTTGTGCTCAGACTGTGTGGTGACGTTGTGATCCACCCTGAGCTTCGTTTCTTGGACTGGTCTTGTGACCGTACTCGTTTGGTTCTGCTAGACACCCCTCACTTAGGCTATGGGGGTGTGTCAAATGTTGTAGCCTATAGTGAGGTTTGTCTTAGGGGGTACAAAACTTAGGGTTAGCTATATGTACCCCAACCAACATCAATGCATCATCCATTCTTCATTCTGACAGAAATCACATAGTCTAAACTGATCCCGCCATACCTCTCGCAAAAGCATTTTTGACGACTTGAAATCGCGGTAAATGAACCCTTTTTCGTGAATGAAGGACAGGGCTTCCGCACACCCCAGCGCAACCATCACACGATCCTTCCAGGGAAACTGATCTTCGTTCCTGCGGACTGGAGGGGGAAAGTAGAGGGGAAAAGCGAGGGGAGGGGGAACAGTGGAGGCAGGACTCGTATGTCAGAATCTCAGCCACTAACCACTGGGATAAAAGGGCTTGTTTGTGTGGCGGGTGAGTGCGCCCATAACCCCCCAGGCCAACGTGCCTGTAACCCTTCCCTAGGATCAACGGGGATCACCAGTGGACCTCTGACACCCCCCCGCACTGGGATGCCCGAAGTGCATACACCGGGATACGAACCCGAGACCTTCGCTCTGATACCATGTCAGAATCTCAGCCACTAACCACTGGGATAAAAGGGCTTGTTTGTGTGGCGGGTGAGTGCGCCCATAACCCCCCAGGCCAACGTGCCTGTAACCCTTCCCTAGGATCAACGGGGATCACCAGTGGACCTCTGACATCGTATTTAGTTCCTGCGGATGGATGGGGGAAGGCGAGGGGGAGAGTGGGAGCAGGGGCATGGGAAGCCATGCAGGCGGGGGATAGGGGGGCGAGGGTCAGTGGGTAAAGGAGATAATTTTTAAAGAGGATGGTTGCAAGAATTTAAGACCTCAAACATCTAGACAACATAGGAGAGAAACAATGAAGACAAGAGCCAACGTGAGACAGTTTATACTGTCAGAGGTCCACTGGAGATCCCCGATGATCCTAGGGAAGGGTTACAAGCACGTCGGCCTGGGGGGTTATGGGCGCACTCACCCGCTATATAAAAAAGCCCTTTTATCCCAGTGGTTAGTGACTGGGATTCTGACATGGTATCAGAGCGAAGGTCTCGGGTTCGATTCCCGGTGTGTGCGGGCATCCCAGTGCGGGGGGGTGTCAGAGGTCCACTGGAGATCCCCGATGATCCTAGGGAAGGGTTACAGGCACGTCGGCCTGGGGGGTTATGGGCGCACTCACCCGCTATATAAAAAAGCCCTTTTATCCCAGTGGTTAGTGACTGGGATTCTGACATATACGCCATGTCATTACAACCTTTCAGGAAAGACATTCATATCAGCGAGAGAAGAAAATTTGAGCAAGGAAAAACACGGAAGAGCAAACAGGAGAGCGGAGAGGGAGAGGGGGGAGAGAGGGTAGGAGGGGCAGAAAAAGGAATAACCTAAGGGCTTTTCCTCACCTCGTTAGGGGGAGATTTGTAACGTCCTCCAGGGATTATCATACACGACTCGACGACCGACTGAACGTTCCACCCTCCCCCACCCCCCCCACACCACCAACTGCAAACCAATGGAACCATGCGAAGGAGAAAGTTTCTCACCTCGTTGGACGAGATTCATAACGTCGCCTCCTGGGACGAGCTCATACACACGGAGAGGAGGGGTAGGTTACATGAAGGGGTAAGAAGAGGGGACTCTTCTCACCTCGTTGGAGGAGAGTCTTGACGTCACCTCCCAGAATGTACTCATACACGAAAAGCGGCCGCTGCTCCTTGCTTAATGCCAGGCCTTCCAGACTCAGAATGTTGTCATGTTTCACTGCTGGTATGGCTGCCACCTCAGCCTGAAAACACGGAACAGATAAGGGCAGAGGGAATTGTACAGGTAAGAAAGAAGTGGAATAAAAGAATGGCTCGGAGTGAAAAGTTCGCTGGATTGCTTCAGTTTTATCCATTCGGTTAATATTCTTGTTTATTTTCTTTGCCTTCGTAGGTCACCACAACAATAAACTCTCCGTACGCGCTACAGCACTCACCTCGAAGGTCTTGAGCTCTTGATCAGTAAATGGCGCTACTTTCATCACTTTCACTGCCACGTCACTCTCCCTCGTCGCGCCGTCGCCCGCAGGCAGCACCATCCGCCCGCTGTACACCTTTGCGAACCCCCCCTCTCCGATGATGTTCTTAAAGCCCTTCGTCGCCTTGTGGAGATCCTTATAGCTGAACTCGCGGATCCAAGAGGAGCCTGCAAAGGTCTTCGGAACCGGCGGGGCATTGCCTTGGTCGTCGGAAGACTCTCCGGGGGGAGTTGCCGCGGCTGGGGCGCGCGATACGATCGGAGCGGGAGGGAGGAACGGAGGAGCGGAATGGGAAAAACAGCAGAGGAAAAATGAGCCAGTCGTGGAGACTTGGAGGTAAAATGCTACGAGAAGGTGGAAATTTCACTCCGGAAAAAAAGTATTGGATTTCCGACGGCGTCGCACGATCAAAACGACTGACATCGCGGAAAAGGCAAGTGCCAAAAAAAACTTAAAAGTGGCGCTTTCATAACTTTCCAGTTGCATTTTCCGCGCAAGAAAAAAGTTTGACTCAGCAACAGTGGTAGCGTCAGTAACTACAACCGTCACCTTCCCGTCACTTTCTGGCAACAACGTGTGCAGATTCCCGCATCCGCCACGCAAGTGTACAGGCAACTTCACAACTGGAATACAGTAACCACACACGTTACTCGGATGGTCACCATAACGTTGCACCGCAACCACCCACCTCACATACCTCCCAGTAACCAAAACATGCGGCGACGTACACGTGCCCACGTGTACCTGAATTTCAACCATACCTGCCACGTAAGCGTACACACCCACTACATGCCGAACCTACCACAGCCGCACGATTACGCACCACCACACCAACTATGCACCGTTCACGTGTAAACAGCTCCGCGAGTCGCCAATACTGTTACAATACCTCCAGCCAAACGAGTACCATAGATTAGGGTAGTGCATACCACATCCAGCCCGTCCATTCTCCATGCATTGTATGCCTCGCACCACTACCCCCCTGCCACGTGCAACTCACAACTAAAATTGATACAGAACTACCACGCGCCATCTCACCACCTGCTTGTCCCACGTGTCCTCAACACCCGCCATCGTACTATGTGTTACCCCTTCTCGCAGCTACCTCGCATGCGTAGCCCAACCACTTGCACGCGACCATGTTCTACACCCTACGTAGCATCAACAACTCATAGGCTGCCACGTATCAGCGACTGTTTAGGGAGATCGCACCGGCGATCGCAAATGCGTGCGGCAGCAATTCGCACAGCCCCTACGCGTCGCATCACCACCTTCAGACCTCACAGGGTTGGTGCACGACACCCGCGACCACCAGCGTGGCAGTTGGGCCACGTTGAGGTTTCGCACCGCTCGTAACATGGTCGCCTGCACCACACTTCCAGTGTCGCACAACACGCATCACCAAACATCAGCCGTCCACGGAGGACGGGAACAAACCACCCCTCCACCGCCACGCGTCACTTTCACACATTCCACAAACGCCACCATGCCAAGCACACAAACACCGTGCCGACAAATGGGGCCTCGTCAACTGTTCGAACCAACCACGGCAATCCACGTGTTGCTGTCAAAGTAGGCGGATCCCAAACCATTGCCCCTCTCGTGAGGACTCCGTCAAACGCGGCGACATTTGCGGTGCACATGACGCGCGCCCAGGAAAATTTGGTTCACATGGTCCTAGCCAACCAGCATTGCCCGCCGATGTCTGTCTGGATGGATATTGAACTCGTCATGTCCATTACACTCACTCAAAACATGCATACAAGAACAATTTCCAAAACCGTCTACCGCGCAACAAACACCGTAAACTGCAAGAGCAATCTAGTCAACCCCCAAACCAGCCGCACGTATCTCAATAGCGCGCCCAAAAGCAACATCACCTCCCACCACGGCAAGGTCTATGCCCACCAACAGCCCGTCCTCCCCCTCCCCGCCGCTCTACACACCCCCGACAGACACCGACTGCACATCGTTCCCGGCGGCGTCTCCTCCGCTAGCGCCTGCATTGGGCTTCATGCTCTCAAGCCCACATGCAGAAAGGCGGAGGCCATGGCGTCCCCATATCCACTCCTCTTTCTCCTCGTCGTACTCTGGATTGAAGTGACGGATGGCCTGTGAAACGGAGCCCTTCACAAGCACCTTGAGCCCGTTCACCACGTGGCCGTTCCCCCCCGCCGAGTTAGAGAGACGGCCCATCCTCTGCTCCCAGTACATGATGCTGTCGGACACCTGACAGGAGATTCACACCGCGCACACATTGTAAGCCTACAGCCCAGGCGAGGAGTAACCACCAAATTTAAACATTGTCACTCACCACGTGCTCTAGCCACGCAAGGTGGTACACCTTCAAAGTGAGCGGCAGTGCAGCCTTCTTCGGAATGAAGGCAGCCTTTGCGCACGCCGCAAACGCCGCAGAAGCAAAGGGCATCCCGTCGCGGTCGTTAGCCCAGTTGCTCAACACCAGATCATCTGCACACCGCCGACAGCTCGGACGAGTAAAAAGACTACACCCAAGCACGCAACCGTCACCAATGTGTAGAAGCGCCTGAACACCGCTTACCGCTCTCATCCGCTCCGAGCCCAATGCGCTCGCGAATCTGCTCCAGCGTCCGTGCGTTGTCCCTTGCCCACGGGCTTGCCTCGTCGCGCTCGTCCCGGAAGAATCCAAGCTTCGGGAGCGCAATGTCCCGGACCCGTGCTGCAGCCCTTGTCTTCCACTCGCTCAGCGTCTTGTTAAGGTCCGCCCGTCGGGACTTGTCCGCTGCCAGCGCGAGACACGCGAAGCTATGCGGCAGGCGGTCAAGCACTGCGCAGACGCCATAAGTCTTGTCGTCAGAGCTCGGATAGAAAGTCATGGTTGCTGCCGGCTTCTTCAGGAACAGCTGCACGCGGACCAACTCGCATAGTCGCTGCACACAAGTCAGGAACCACCGCAAACACTGAATGAGAACAGTGCACCACCAAAGGGCATCCCCCTGCAGACTGCGCCCGCCCATACAGTAATGTTTCCCGTCTGCTAGCACAACCCACCTTCCAAGCCTTGTCTGCTGGCAGCAGATCAAGTGCGCGTTGCAGAACAGGCGACTTCGCAGACCGCATATGTTTGCGCCGCGTGCGAATCTGTGCCACGTCCTCGAAGTCGTCGTCGTCGTCCACCTCATCGTCATCGTCCTCAACCTCAGCCACAGCCTCGCCACGACGCTGGCGCTTTGGGTTCATGCATCCCTGTCCCGGCTCCCTCTGCCGCTCTGCTTTGCGGCGACGAGATCCCCCATCGGACTTCGCCAGTGCCTCCAAAAGCAAGGTTTCCAAGCGGGCAACCTTCTTCGCGCTCTCGTCTTGCGACTTAAGCAGGCTCCTGAATACTCCCGCAGAAACGCGCACCTCCTCTCCATTGGTTGGGACATCAGCGTTCTCGCGGTTCGTGTTGGTTTCGAACATCGCGCGCATCGCGTCGCCCACATCCTCGTCATCCTCCTCTTCGAAAGCGTTGACGTCGCTCTCGATGCGTGCCTGGTCGCCCCCGTCAACGTCCTCGCCTCGATTCCGGAGAGCCAGACGCGGATCAACGTCGCTCTTGGAACGCGAATCTGGCGAGTCACTCTCCGCCGCTTGCTTGCCTACTCTGCCGGGAGAAGCGTCAGATGTCTCCCCCCCCGTAGTCTCTGAAGTGGTGGGAATGTAGACGGACGAGAATGTAAGTTCGAGGGTTTAAAAGCTCCATTGCGGAATGAAGGGGAATGCCAACGGATTCAAAAGCATACGAGACTGTAAACGCCTCAGGTCAATGGAACAAATCGCGCAACATGCGCAACAAACCCGTGATTACCATCACCAGCAGATTTTCCGCCACCTCCCGCAATGGTAAACGTCAAACGCTTAGGCAAAGCAGTTCCCCGAGTCCCCCTTGCCATGCGCCCACGAGGAGTTGCAAGCTGATATGCCGCGCGCAGGTACGCCGGAGGCTGGGACACTCGCCGTGCACGCCCCAAGTTGCCAGTATCTTCGGAAGCAAGGGAAGTCTCCATTGTGCCCAGTTGACAGTGTTTGAGTGCACCGTACGCATTCCTTAGTGCTCGGATTGATATAGCAAAGTATACGGTACCCAGTGAACATTGCTCAACAACGGAAACACCCATTGTGAAAATCGTTCCCTCCAATCAAATTAAAGGCAATCTCTGACAACCACTCGGAAACAACCTCCACGATTTCTGTCATCTTTGTAAGCGAATATGCATCGGCCACCGATCCCCGTCATCTTTTGTCCGAAAACCCGTCCTCTCGCTATCAGTTCCGCTTACTCCGTCTTCGGTACACTTGCTATCATGCAAATTCGTAACACCTCCACATTCAACTCCAGATATCTTTTATTAGCAAAATAGTACAGACACGATAGATTTCACATACTTTCCACACACATGCAAACATCAGTCGGGTACGGATGCCTTTTTCTATCCCACGGTACACTCTCATTTCCCACTGATATCCCAAGCACCATCCTACTGCCTCCCACGACCAGCTTCATCTGTCTTGTCATCCATGGACTTTGCATCGGCACTGCGGAGCCTCCCAAGCGCCCTGCTGTTGGTTGGTTCGATGGCAACGATCTCAGTGTCCTCACTTCCAGCCTTCTCTCCTTCACCCTCTCCTGCCGTGCCACCACCCTGCGCACCACTCTCCTTTCGCGGTCTCCACATTTTAGCAGGCGTTGCATTCTTCTTGGCCCGCGCTGCCTTCCGCATCACACCTTCGTACGCCTCCCTCCATACCCTCCAGCGCCACCACATGCGGGCATCCACCAGGACTTTTAGGACTTCAGGAGTGCACCCCTTCAAAGCTGCCCTATCCGCCGGTGTTAAAGCCACAGAGTTCCTGGTGCCCATGCCTGGCCTCAGCACGTGGGCTGCTGCCGCGTAGCAATACGCTGCCTCCTCTATCGTGGTGTAAGCGCCGACTCTCCTCGTTACCTTCTTTCCGTCCTTGTCCTTGGCGACAACCTTCACCCCAAACTTGCCTGTATCGGCCTCCACATACACCCCGGTGTACTTGGTCGGCTTTGTTCCTGGCTCGGTCTCCCCCTCTCCGTCCTCGTCAGAATCCTCTCCTCCGGCCAAGGGCTCCTGCTTAGGCACAGCTGTGAAGCCGGGGTGTGCGCCCGCACCGCTCTGCGCGATGCCGTAAACAGGATAGGATGGCTGGACTAGTGAAACCGCAGCTCCCTGCTGGCGCGACAACAGCCAGTGTGGAACCGTCCCGGGGATCGGCAGATGTGCCGGGAAGCAGGGGTACGCTCCAACGGCTGACGCGAACTTGCTGTCGAGCGACACTCTCGTGTTGGAGCCCACCAGATCCTCGTCAGGGCTGTCGTTCAGCTGCTTCGTGTATCCTGAAGGCCGTACAGGAGTGGTTGGGCCGTGCTTGCGCGGATCATTACCTCCCGCTCCCTGCACAGCGCAGGCAGGCTTCTGCAGCATGTTTTCGCCGGCAGAGATCAGCTCCTCCCTCGACATCCCAAGCACCTGCCCAATTGCGGCGAATCCTGCAGTCATCGCACCGACCTCGCGCTTCAAGGAGCACACCTCCGCCTCGAGTCGGTCCACACGTCTTTGCTCTGTGTGTTGTCCGTCCTCTGCACCCTCCTTCAAAGTCGTGTTGGTGGTGGTGCCGCTTTCCTGAGAAGGAACATCCACGCCATCTTCCTCTAGCCTCCGGAGCAACTCCCCCATAGCGTGTGCGCATATATCAGCGCGCATGTTGCGGCGGTACTGCAGCGCGCTGACCCCTTTGAACCACAGGCCACTCTTCAAGTTGGCAAAGTCGGAGTAGACCAAAACTTTCAAGTAGTGGCAGATGAAGACTCCGCAGTCAAAACCATTCTCTTGCTTAGGGATGTGGTTCGCCTGCACACAAAGAATCCGCACACCGGGTAGCCGCTTTTCACCTTATAAACCTCAACTGCCTAACACCAAAAACACCAGAACAGCCGCCCTTACCGTGAGGACATGACAGGGAACGTCCTTCAGCAGCAGTTCAAAATTCGACATGTCCACATGTGGGTGCGTCTGCTTGGCGAGAGTTGTCAGCAACCTGCATCACGTCTCATATGAGGAACCCGGTTACATCCACGCCGGTGTTAACAACCACCATATTACGGCTTATGCTACAAACACTTACAGCTTCACGCCACTGAAAACCTTCTGTGTACTCATGGGGGCCTTGGAGCTGTCGAACAACACCATTTCCAGCGGAGGGCTATCCTTCCTTGCCATCTTATCCACCAGACGGTGGGGTGATACGACTATCACCAATGAGTAGTGCTCTCTGCAGGGAGGCAAGCGGCAGTAAACGGCAATGTTTAGTACGGCCGATGAAGAATGCATGCAACTCACGGGTGTTGCTGAACTACTCAAACAGCTCGATGATTACCCCCTGTAGACAGGCACCGCCAGGTAGTCGTGCTCAAGGAGAGGCAGGCCGTTTCCAGCATTGACGGGAGTATTGTGCTCAGTGGTGTTCGCGAAGTTGTTGCAATCGACAGCCGCCCATGTCTTCCCGTTTGACAGTTTCGGCACTCGGATGCTTAGTAGCCTGGAAACACACGCCGGACATGTTGGAAAGTCGGCATAAAGGGAGGGCATTGGATCCTCCTGCTGCGATTTATTATGTTTAAAAAAAGAAAACAACGTGCACGAAGCCGGGCGAAACCGTTACTCACACGTTGTGAAAATCTATCGCCCCGTCAGTCACCCATGTGTTGTCCGCGATGGAGGCGAGATCCTTCTTGTCGACTGTGCTGACCACGTCGCGATGGTTCTTGAGCTCCACGTTCTGATATTCGACTTTGTGATAATTCTTCTCCAACGCCGCCACCAAATCGTCGGGCTGAGGGAGTTCAGCAGGCGTGCTGGCTGCACCGTCAGCGACTTCCATGGTCTTTCCCTTGTCATCCTCCACCGCCCGTCGTTGCCTTTTTTTGTTAGAGCCGGCGGCCTTTCCCTTACGCGACCTTGTCGCACGCACTTCTCTTATCTCGGACTCGGAGCAGCCGCTCGATTCTTGGCTGCCGGTGTGCGCGTTTTTCGGAGGCATGGTTGGCGCGGGATGAGGGGAAGGATGCGATTTCAGAATCAGGTGTACTAGGGCCGGGCCACGGTTCCCACGGTAAACTAAAACCGTTAGGATTCTCCTGCGATCGAATTTGGGAAAGCGCAATAGCCCGGGGCAAGAAGGCAGCAAAAGTGGTCACATCCCCCGATGGATGACAGATCTCCAGTTAGGGTTACTCGAGGTTCGTCGCATCATGCACAGGTCACCGGGATGATGACAGCTGGGCACCGCAGAATGGTCTGGAATAGTTGGATGAGTGCATGTCATTGCTCCGTAGCCAGCACGACATCGAGAGGCTCCTAATAACGGGGGTGCGTGTATGACTTGTTTTATATCAGACATTTTCAATTCGAAAGGCAGTGTAGCGTCGATAAAGTAGTGGTCCAGTTGGTAGGGCCAACTCCCATTTGTTTCGACTTATGATGATATAAAGTGATACGACAATGCACAAACGCGTACATCTGGCTCGTGACGTAAGGTACGAAATTGGCACTTCCTCGCACGAATTGCTAGTACACCGCTGTGGGCAAGGTGTAGACACGGGGCCACCTGGCCAGTGTAGCAGTGATCAAACAGTGCCGGATGGGAAAGCCCCTGTTTACGGGATGCGTGCGTGGGAGCCGTGCACGTATACGCGGCATGTAAAGTCTCGTTGAAGATTTGTAATATAATTGCGCTTATAATGGGCTGAAAGTTTCTGCTTTTGTTTCGTGGCCAAATTTACGTAGGTAAATATTATCAATAGTAAACGGATAGAGTTGCACACTATTTGTTTGCTTCAACGACGTAGTCTTATACACATATCGTCTATCTTCACATGGCTATTTATGAACAACCAAGTGTATTCTTACGTACATGTAGTGTGTACGAAGCACTGACGCCTCATATGTTGCCGCGCACGGCCGTGGACGATATGAAAACCGACTACCTCAACCATTGCTAGAGGTCGGATTAGGGTTTGTAGCAAGTCCGAGATGACGGGAAACAAGTGCGGAGTGTGCGGTAAGGAATTTCCTAGCGACCGTGACTTGCAGTCTCATCTCTCAGACAGAACGAAATGCGGGGACTCGTTGAAGAGAAATCTCGAGCAGCTTATGTTTGATGCTTACCTGGACGTGCTAAACAGTGTTGGGCAAAAGCGCCAGCGCAGCCCTGCTACGTCTAGTGCCAAAACCAACCCTATACCTACGAACTTGCCGCCAGAGGGCTCACCGCCGCAGGCGACGGAGGCAGATCATGAGGCGGACGATGGCGACTCGAAAAGTTCTACTTCTTCGGAGGCCAGCGACGTCTCCGACTTCTTCGACACGCTCACGGAGCTGTACCTGTTTTTCCGTGACGCGGACTTATCACGCCGTGAAGTCAACAGACTGCTTAACATATTCCGTAACCCTCAGTTCAGTTTGAAGGAATTACGCAAGTGGCGCAGCTACGCCGACGTGAAGCGATGGGGGAAAGAGCGTGCGCCGCCAGATATGGTTCCATGGAAAACAGAGCATATCGTCGTGCACGGGCCCAGAGGAATGTCCCAAAAGCTTCTCTTGCACTTCCGCGACACAGAGCTGGTGAGCTTGTCGTCATCTGCGTACCGCCCTTATTCGGCTTAGGTGTTGTGACAGATGGCGTGTAACGTGCCTATCTTTATTTGTGTTGTCGCGCATGCTTGCTATGGCCATGCTCTGATGTGCAGCTTGTGAAGAAGCTAGTCCGCATTTTTTCGCGGAGGAAGGGTTTCGTGTGGAAGCCACAGGAGAAGTACAACGAGAAGGGGAAGCGCGTTTTCGAGGGGCCAGAAACAGGCACGTGGATGCACGAGGCGCAGGTGCGTTGCCTGGCTGAAACAGTGCATGTCCGATGCAAGGGCCTTGTTCCGTAATAACCACCTCGGTGTGTGCGTGTGGCAGAAAGAGATCAAGGACGACAAGGCTCTGATTCTCGGGGTCATCGTGTACAGCGACAGCACTCAGGCGTCGCGCAACGGGCGGCGGAATGCGTGGCCTGTTCTGATATCGCTTATTAACATTCCGGAGGAATTGAGGTGGTTTGAGCCGGGCCACACTCTTGCGGCAGTGTTGCCATTCTGTCCGGAATGGGCTAGTCCGACAGAGAAGGCCCGTGTTTTCCAGGAGGCGCTGAAGATCATCCTAGGGCCCCTGATGCGGGAAACCGCAAGGTACGTTTGGCGGCATGTGTGTTGGTTCTTCACGCGGTAAACGCGTTGCTTGTGACGTACCTGTGATCCGTTACCTATTCGAAATCCCTTTCTGTATCCAGTGCTCCTGTGAGGTACTTTTATGTGACAGACGCCACCGGCAATGTGGTCAAGGCGGTACCTTGCCTCTATGGGTACCCTGGTGACTATCCAGAGAACAGTAGGGCCTCAGCCACGCTGCAGACGGGCACTCATCGCCCCTGCGCTAACTGCTATGCAGAAGTGGGAGAGCTGAAACGGCTGACTGCTAGAATAGATCCACGCACACCTGAGCGGCAGAAGGACATTGTGCGACAGTTTTTTGCGTTCGCCAAAAAGGAGGACGCCCGGAAGTACATGAGCCAGTGGTCAACCCATCCGATAGAGGTATGTTGCAGTTTGCCATTGTGCCGTGGAAACATTCGTTCGACTGGTGGCGACACTGGACATATAGGGTTGTGACGTGCTTCCTTCTGTGCGCAGTGCGTGCTGGCGCGGTGGAACTTTGGGAACACCACCTGGGGGAACGTCTACCTCGCATGTTTGGCTGACATTTTACACGTGCTGGACTCTGGTGTCTTCGTACACATGATGGAAGAATACCTTTCCCCCCTGGGGAAAGTCGAGATCCGCATCCTGGAGAGGTGAGCCGTGTAGATCATCAGTGCGGTGTTTTGGGGTGGTCAGGGCTTTGTCAGTTCCTTGGAACGGGTTTTATGGCTTGGCCGAGATGCGTAACTGGCTTGTTGGCCCCTATTGCGTGGCAGGCGGAAGAAGGAGTTCAAAAGCGATACTCCAAGTGTGCTGCTGCGGATTCCTGGGGGATCATCATTCTTCCTTTCTGGTGCCAACAATGCGGCGTTCGAACATCGTGCCATGATGCAAATCATGCCGATCCTCATTGCGGATTCTAGTGCCTTGAAGAAGGGCGAGGCGGGAGAGTTGAGGGCGCTGCAGATTAGAGCATTCCGTTATTACGCCCTGTTCTACAAGGCGTTTTTGGGAGTGGCGGCGCACACCCGTGCCACGCTGAAAGAGGCCAAGCAACGTGCTGTTGCGTAAGTACGGTGGTTGGAGACGTGTGTTGATTGCAATCCTTGTGCACCCTTAACCCTGTGCTTTGCAGTCTGCTGTTAGAACCTCTGAGCAACACAACTGTATGCTATGCAGGCTGATGGAGCTACTGCCCAAAGCTTTCCCAGACCAGGCGTCAAAGTGGGAAATTCCCAAGATCCACATGATCAAGCATCTTCTCGAGAACGTGGAAGCAAGGGGGATGCCACACCACTACAGCACGGAGATGTGGGAGCGCACTCACAAGGGGACAGTGAAGGGTCCCGTGAGGGGGAGCAACTGGGCTGACATTCCGAGGAGAATTGTGGATGAGGAGATGCAGCGGGAGATTTACAGAGAAGTGGCGGCCGATGCGGGAGGAGGTCGGCAGTACGTGTCAGCGCTGCGTGTGGTGAGTGTTTGGGTGCAAGCAAGACTAGGGGTGGTGCGCTGGGCGACTCACGCCCTGTACCAAGTGCGTGTTTGCTATGCACTCTCATTCAGTGCATGCTGTGTCGCCGGTGGTTGTGTGCGGCAGGCCGTGGAAGAGATGGAGCCAGTGCTAACGAAGAAGTTCAGGGTCATGCGCCTCGGAGGCACCGCGGACAAGGTGTTTGCCGAGTACGCAGCGGTATTTGGGGATCAGATGGCGGGCCTACCAGGTCAGCTGCGGGAGATGCAGTTGAACCCTGGCAGTGTGCAGGTAATTGTTTTTTGTGGTGCGCGGATTGTCGGTTTTTGGTGCGCGGAACGAGTGACATTGCCTGACCTCTTTGATTTGTGCGTGGTGCTTGCCTTATTGCAGACACACACAGCAGTGGCCATACCACGTACGCAGGGTGGGGTGCTTGTGGCGAAGGGGACGTTCGTCAAGGCGTCCCCGCGAGAGAACCTGTTCTCAGATTTGGCACTCCTGGCTCCTGAAGGCGGGGATTGGTTTGCTAGATGCCTATGTATTTTCAAGGCGTTGAACGCGGAGGGCAAGTGGACTGGGTGTGCCTACGTGAGGTACTACGAAGCAGCAGGCCAGTGTCCCATCACAACGTGCACCCAGTTGCATCCAGCTCGAGAGAGTGTCCGGTTCGCAGTGGTGTTGCTGAAGAGCCTGCAGAGGGTTGTGCACGTATGCCCTTCGTACAGCAACCCTCGTCTGCTGCTGGTTAACAAGTTTCTACTCTGCGAGTAATTGGAGTTGGGCTGTGTGTTTGGAACTGAGGGAAGGTGGTTTTGTTACACTCCTAGAAGGGGTGGAATTGTGGGATTGTGGCATTTAGGGGTGCATGGGAACCTGGGTAAGGGAAGGAGAGTGCGCAACAGAATAGTACGCAGGTCTCATGCTTTGATTTGGGGGGCTTGTGTGGTGGGAATGTGGGATTTTGAAAATTCACCGTCATACTGGAATTTTGGCGGCCGGTGTGTGGATTGAGGCAATGCTTGTAACGGATTTGGTTATTACGGTTGTTGGTTCAGGGCACTGGTATGCGGATTTGGGTTTTGTGGCTGAAATGCAGGGACACTCTTGTTACGGAATCCAATTGGATATGTGGCTGGAGCTAATTGGTTCGATGTTCGGATTTCTAGTGCGTGTGACTGGAGGGTGCGCATTTGTGTGACGTGTACGACATCAGAGGTTGACAGGTTGGGCCAATGGGAACTGCGCAATTGTGTACCTGGCATGTAGTGGACAGTGTTCAGTTGGAGAGCGATTCAGTGGTTGCTGCACATGTGGAGCGCCTAAAAGGCAGCACATGTGGTGGTGGAGAGTACGGTTTGGGCTTTTGGTGGATGATTTTGGGGACGTCCACCATTTCATCTCCAGCGTCCCACACGTTGTCCGGGGTGTGCTGGTGGCCAGTATGAGCTCGGTGAAGCCCCCGTTGAAGGACATCGTACAGAAGCTGAAAGTGCTCCCCGACGATGTGTTTCTGTTTGTGGAGATACCGTTTATGCCCAGCCGGTTGCCGAAGACCAAGATACCGGGGAGGAACGGAACCCCGTGCGACCGGATCATAAGTGTCGGCTTCTTGTACAATGCGACGGGGACCTGCACCACGGTGCCCCTTGTGGTGTTGCGCCATGACGAGCGCCCCGAACCTAGGCGCAGCGGGGATCCTGCACCGGCGGTGATTGTGCGCTACACGAAGAGTGGGCGCCTCACACCAGAGGTATGTGGGCGGATTTCGAGTGGACTCCCACCAGCACATGTGTATAATGTTGTGGCTGCATTTCAACCCTGTTTCTGTGTGATACCCTAATTCCGCGCTGGCGCTGTCGTGGCTTGGCGGTGCGCAGGTGTTTACCGAGTTTTTTCAGACGGTTGATGGGGTGCAGCTTAGCCGTGGAAGGAAGACGGTTGTGTTCACCTACAACACGGCGCACCGCATTACCGCGAATGACGCGGAGACCACGGTGGAGCATGGGCTGACTATGGTGCATTTCACGCACACACGCTTTGTGGACCTGACAGACGTTGTGCACTGGTCCAGTATGCCGTTTTTGCACGGCGTGGTGGACGCTTTCAAGGCTGAGTATCGTGTGATACTGATGAGACGCGCGGTGCGGTCCAATCTGTTCCACGAGGATTTCGAGGCGCCGATTTCCCTGGTGAATTACGGTGTTATGCTGCTGTGGGTGGGCTTGGCATGGAAGGCGCTGACGGCGGCAACGATGCAAAGGAGCTGGTGGAGGGCGGGATGCGTCCCGGAGTCATGGTGGGAGCTGATGTGGCACCTGCACGGCATGTACTCGGCCGGCATGTACGATCCCCTGGTCTCTACCACGGCGGACCTCCTGGTGCTGCTACGTGAGTTCCGTGTGCGGCCGGCTATTTATATGCCGGTGTCCGATTACGTGACATGCGATGAGTGGTTAATGGAGAAGGCTGGTGTGAAGTTGGTGACGCCAACGACGCCGACGTCTTCAGGGGACGAGGGCGAGATGTGCCTGCCGGATGGGCCTCTGATGCGTGACGAACGAAGCCGACGACGTGCCATCCGCAATGTGACGAACGCGTACGTATGTCACGCGGAGGCGCTGGGGATTGCTCCTGCGGAGGTGGCGACTGTCGTTGGCGCCTCTGATGGAGAGGTGGTTAGCCGCCTAAGCCGCACACCGAAGAAGCGAGCTCGCAGTTCGGGGTCGTCGGACAGTGGGTCCGTGTAGTGCGCTTGGTTTTGATGCTGTAGTGGGTGGGGGGAGTGTTTGTTGGAGGGCATGCCTCGAAGGGTGGGCTCATCTTTGTAGGTGTGGTTGCTGGTTGACAGTAGGGTTTGGTTTTGTGTGATGTTGTACTTTGTATTGCTGAGTGCTGGAGTTGCAAGCGAATGACAAAGTTTACACATTATGAAGTAGACGGTGTGCAGAGCAGTGTAGTTTGGTTTGTTCAGTATATACAGTTGCTCGGAGTAGGTGTGCATTTATCGTTTCTGGGGTCCCTGTAGCGGGGGAGGGGCGACACGACAATACCGAGTATGTGTGGCGTTTTTGGCTCGAGCCGCATGTGTTCGAGGCGCATTCGTGGAGGCGGCGCGGATAATGGCGCAGGTGACCCCAAAGTGACATTTTGGTGGCGGTAATGTTGTGGTCCAGTGTGCGGTTATTGATCGCGCCAATGTTGCGTTTTACGGTCCTTGTTTTTCGGACACTTGTCGCAACAATCACGCAAGCCCCACGCAGAAAAACCTTCGGACACCCCAAAACGCAATTTCCCTTTTACGCGATAGACAATCGCAGGACTGAAACGACTGACATTCAGCCGGAAAGTTCGAGTTTGGAACGCGAATCACCTCAATACTACTATTCACCTGCTAACGCTCACCTCCCGTTACTTTCACAGGCTCCGCTCCGTCACCGCCGCGACGAAAGCAGTTGATGTATTTGTCCATGGCTGCCGTGAAGGAAAAGCAGGCAGTTAGCGGTAGATTGCACTCAGAGGGACTCTGGTTCGCCTCGGAGGCGCCTTGGAGTTCACTATCTTGATGACTGCAGTGAGCGTTGCGAGGTGACTTTGAGTCGATTCAGAAGTAACCTCGGTTAAGAATCTGATTCGTCTCGGAGGCGCCTTGCAGTGTAGTACTTCACTTATATACAAACATGACTGCATGCAATGAGCGTCTGCGAAGTGAATGCGAAGTGAATACGAAGCAGACTCTGATTCTGAAGGGAGTGGGCACTGGGCAGAGCCTTGCATTTCATGATTCATCAATCTCAGCTGAGAAATGAGCTACGTGTGCTTGATTGGGCTGGGCGAGGGGGAAATCTCGTGATTGGTTGGGGCTAGGAGAGAATCGCATGACTGGTTCTGAAACGTGCTGGAAACGGGGTGATAGATGCCGGACTTGGACTGGTTTGCTCGGGCACGAACTTTATGGTTCTCGCTACACCGCTTACCACTTAATACAAAATACTTCGCAATTTCGTAATGAACATGCGTTATAACTGGCAAAATCTGGTTAGGCATTTCACAACTGAGATCTGGTAAAATTTCACAAGCGATAAAGGAAATGATGATGAGCCACAAGGAGTAGCGAAATTCTACGGTTTCTACACTCTAGACCCTGTTTTGTGACTCATGTCATGTCACGTCATCCTAAATTGTTTTCATAATCTTGCGACCGGCCTTCTCTGCTATCCACATCCATGCCCGCTTGCAACCCTCCACCAAACCCGCCTCCCCCAACCCCGCCCGCCACCGCTGCTTCTTCCAGGCGCTGCCACGTGGCGGCGCGTAGCTCCTCCACGTCAGCAGCGCGGCCTTCCTCTTCCAGGAACTGGCGCTGGCACTCGTCGTACAGCGGCTGGTCCATCTCGAGAAACATCTTGCGCACGTTGATGGTCAGCCCGTTCACCGCCTGGGGAGAAGGGGGAAGGGGAAGGGAGAACAAAGGGAAGGAGAGAAAGGACGGGGAAGAGGAGGGGAAGGCAGCAGCACAACAAGCATTGGGCAAGGCCTGAGCCATCTGGAGAAACATCTTGCGCACGCTGATGGACAGCCCGCTCACCGCCTGGGAGGTGGGGTGGGTGGGAGAGCCGATCGGGTGGATGGAGGAGGAAAGTGAGGAGGGAGAGCAAGGGAGAAGGCGAGAGGAGCGGGAAAAAGAGGGGAACAGTATGGGAGAGGTAGAAGAGCAGTGAGGCGGAGGAGGGAGAGAAAAGGGGGAGAAGAGGGAGAGAGGCAGAGCAAGGCAGAGCAGCACAGCATGCGCTGGCCAGGGAGAAAATTGCCTCCAGGGCTCATCATAGGGAGCCCGGTCCATCTTTAAACATCTTACTCCGTTCACAGCACGCGCACTGGAGGAGAGAAGAGTGGAGAGGGGGTAGACTGAGGGAGAGCAAAGGGGAGAGGAGAGGGAGCGAGGTGTGCGCGAATGAAGTGGGAAAACAGCGAGCTCTGAAACAGCGAGCTGACTCGATTTGAAAAAGTCAGCTGCCACGGGTTGTCAAGTAAAGTTCAAGCAAGGGGGCATGAATCAAGGTGACAGAAAAGAGTGTCCACGTAAAACCACAGTTTTTCGTGCTAACACCTTTGCACTGGTGCATTGCCCGGCAAGAATGATGAGGCACCTTTGCACAACCCAGACAAATGCACACCCTTGTTTTAGTTCACCTTGAGTCAAGGCAAAGAAACAGCTTCAGACTCAACTCGTCTGCTCATCTCCACTGCGGTCGCCAAGCCACCCTACATGGTTCCAGCGGCCTTCACTCTGGTCTATAGCCTGTTCTGCACCTGAAGCTGCAGAAATCACTTTGCCTCGATTCACTTGCATGATCGGTCCACTTTCTCCAATAAGAGAAGCCAGCTCAGTGGCTGTATCTCCCTCATGAGGTTCCAGCAGCTTCAATCCGTGCCACAGACACAACAACCTGCCACTCTACCTGGTTTCAGTGGCTTCACTTGAGCTAGTGCCACAGCCACAGCCTGCCACCTACCTGCACATGCCGCCCTACGTGGTTCCAGCAGCTTCAACCCGTGCTACAGCCATAGGCAGTCCGTGCAACAGACACAACCTACAACATACCTGCACATGCCGCCCTACGTGGTTCCAGCAGCTTCAACCCGTGCTACAGCCATAGGCAGTCCGTGCAACAGACACAACCTACAACATACCTGCACATGCCGCTCTACCCGCGTGTGGCCTACCTGGTTCCAGTGGCTTCTGGCGTTGCGCTCGAGAGCAGCAAAGATAAGGGGCAGGATGGTGGTGCGGTTCTGAGCCACCAGTGTCACAATGTAGTCGTTGTTCCACAGGAACAGCGTCCTCTCGGCCACCTGCATGGGGGCGGGGAGGGGGAGGGGTGGGGGGGAGGGGAGAGGGGGGAAAGTGGGGACGGGGTGCGGGTGGTGGGGGAGGAGGGTATCACATGTTGGTACTTTGACATATGGGCCACAGGCGTATTGGTTCAGTTCTGCGCCACACGTGTCACAATGTAGTCGTTGTTTCACAGGAACAGTGCCCGCCACCTGTGCTGGGGGGGGGGGCGGAAGGGGAGGGGGAGGGGGTGTAAGGGGGTTTTGAAGGGGCGTGTGTGAGGGGGATTTGCGTGTGCATACATATATGAAATGCATGTATGAAATGCGTGGTGTGATGTATGGACCCCATATGTGTTGGTCCTGAGCCACCAGCATCACCGAGTAGTTTCAGCTCCACAGAATTGAGCACGGGCTCCAATAATTGTAATAAGCCATGCTATAGGGAGTATAGCTCAAAGCGGAGCACAGTCGGTCAGATGTAACAGCTACCAGTCACCAGAATGACCGCGTATTCGTCCTCCCCTCAGGAATAGAGCGCTCGCTGCACGGAATGTCAGGAGATGCATGCATGGCGACGGAATATGTTTGGGACATGTCACTCATCACGCTGAAACAGTGTAGAGACCGGAAAACTGGCCACAAGCAGAAGTGAGTCTGGGGGGAAGCGGCCGCAAGTGGCAATCCGCGGAGTGGGTGCATGAGACGTCAGACCAAACAATGTCAACGAAACCCTAATTAGGAACAATTTACCAGGCTGAACAAAGACCCGCACCGACTTGAGACTCTGAACAAAGGCAGGCTGAAGCATGGTGAATTCTGAGTCGACTCAGAAGTCGTCATTTGAGATGTCAGCCAGTGCCGAACAATTTCAACATCACTCGCACTTAGAATGTGAATACCCGCATATGAGGACTTTCAGAACGCGGTGGCACGAAGGAGCATACCTGAGAGTGGCGAAGCGCGGTAAGTGAGTGCGAGGACCTGAGAAAGCGCGCAACCTGCTGGACTAGCGGCGCCATGCCCATTTGGAACTCGGGCGCCTGCGCGGTCATGCATGACACCACCTCACACAATCTCACATCCCATCAGACCGCTTCGCACCCCTTCACACCCCAGCACCCGTATCACATCCTCGCGCACGGCATCACACCCGGCACACCCCGTCACACCGTACCTGGAAGTGCGAGGAGCTGAGGCAGCGAGCGACCTGCTAAAAAAGCGGCGTCATGACTATCTGAAACTCCGGCGCCAGCGTAAGAATGCGTGACACCCCCTCACACCTCCCCGCATCTCCGCGCACCCCCTCGCACCCCCTAACACCCTGTCACACCCCCTCCCACCACCGTATCACAATACCGTGCACTGCATCACAGTGCACCCCATCCCGCCGTACCTGGAAGTGCGAGGAGCTGAGGCAGCGCGCGATCTGCTGGAACAGCGGCGTCATGACCATCTGAAACTCCGGCGCCTGAGTCAGCTCCAAAATCTCCTCCAACTCCCCCAGGAACAGCACCTCCTTCTGGCTGTTAGTTAAGGGCCAGAACTTCAGCAGCCCGCGCAGCACCAAATCTGCGAGCTTCGGGTCTTTTTCGACAAACTGGGTGATGCAGTACGACAGCTGCTGGTGGTACATCGACACGCACTTGGGCTTGTGCAGCGGAACCAGCGCGCGGACCAGGAACAACTTATGCTCCTCCTTAAGCGGCAGCGCGAACCCGTTAATAATACTCCCTAGAATCTCCAGAAGCTCCGCGATGCCGTTATGCCGCTCCGACTCGTAGATAAACCGGTAGAAGATGTTGTTAATCGCCTTGCGGATGAACGGCCGGTGCACCATGAATTTCCCGTAAATCCGGTGCAGAATAGTCTTCAGATAGTCCCGCTCGCGAGGGTCCTCCGAGTCGAACAGGTTCAGCAGCTTTAAGATGAACTTCTGGTCGATGTAGCGCTTCGCCACCTTCGCGTCGGTCTCGTTAGAGACGACGTACCTAAGCAGGAACTCGTAGACTATTTGCAGGTGCGGCCACGCGGCTTCCATAGTCGGCTCTTCCTCCTCCGGGTCGAACGATTCTGAACCGGACATCTCGTGCGCGGACGGCGGTAACGGCCGGAAGAGATTAATCTCCAGCATGCGCGTGATGTCTTCGAATACCGCCTCGTTGAATTTCCCGGTTCCGGAATTAACGTAGTCGACTAGCTCGAGCAGCGTTTGCCGCTTAATCTCCTTCTCCTTCACGTTTTTCATGGGGTCGTTGAAATCGAAGAGGTAAGTGCAGAGATGCAGCTTGCGGATGAATAAAGCCTGCTTTTCCTGCGGACCCACGTCTCTAAACAGCGGAAGCGGCTCAGCGAAAGGCGACGCGTTCGCCTGCGCGATCACTTCGTTAGGGTCGCGACGAACGGGAGCCGCTGGATTCGCGACGCCTGGAGGCGGATGCGGGCCTCCCGCCTTTCCGGCGTTCGCTCCCCCTGATGCAAGCTTCCCCGAGCCCGACCGCGCAATGCCACCCGCCGCTGCTGGCGCCGCTGCTGCATTGCCTGCATCATGCGACGCTGCGTCTGACTTACCCTGCTTTTTCCGACCCCCTGCAAACGTCTTCTTAACTGACTGAAGCATGCTAAGCCGTTTTCTGCACTCGAAACCCTAGCCGATAACTACTATCCACACGATATTGCTAACGCTGTTCGGCTCCAGTCAAGCAGGAATAGCAATCCCTAGGCAAGGAGAACTTTCTGGTCATGGCCGAAACGAGAACGCGAAATTAGGTCTACACCGAAACTCGCCAGGCGTCGAGTCCAAAACGGCCTACTTCGCAAAACAAAAAACGAACATAACGCGAACCAGAAATGACATCCAGCGGCTCGATTACGACGATTAACGAGTTGCGAATCAGGCTCGTAGGATCCTGGATTGGGCCGCCATGGATTATGACAGGTGAGCTCCCAGGGTTGAAAGGATAAAAGCAGATGGGAAACTCGGCGGGATAGCAGGCAAGGGATGGTGTGATGCAAACGAGAGGTATTTTATGCATAGATATGCGCTTATAGCGAGGTCAGGCGGGGGAAAGCGTGTGGTGGAGCGGGGTTGGTTTGTTGTTGATGTGGGCTGGGTTCGGAAGGCGTTTGGCGCGCGGAGAGATGAAGGGGAAGGATGCGCGGAGACCAGGGGAAGACTTTGTGGAAAAGGGGAGGCGAGGCGGGGAGCAGGTGTGGTTGATTGCAGCGGCAGTTGATGCGTTGACTGGTGAACCACGGCGTCGTGTACCCTCGTACGAATACGTGTACATGTGAAGTATATTTCAGATAACGTAACAAAATAAAAAATTTTCAAACAACACTCACCTACACACCCAATCCACCTTCATGAACTTAGAATACCACCTGATATTACAACTGACACTACCAAAGTATTTTGCGCATGTGGACCGTGGTGAACAGGGCAGAGGAAACGCACAACCCAGCAAGGCATGAGGGAAGGAGGAACTCAGCAGCGTGTGAGCCAACACAGCCCAACCGTCTCATCAAAACAATTAGTATTTAATCCCCTTTCAAGACACCTCCAGCCCATCATGAGGAGACTGAACTGAATGAAACACTCTCAACCTCAAACGCAGTCCTTCAGCCGGAACCGGCATTGGGAGTGCCGTGTGCGTAGGCTGCCTTCGCACATCTCAAGTACCACGACAGCCAGAAGCTTCTTCAGTCCCTTTCTTCATACCACCCTCCTCACACCAGCCCCCTTGCACCTGACTCCTTCAGCCAACCCCCTTAGCTCACGCCAAACTTCTGGTAAATGAACCATAGAGCTCACTAGAAGTCACCAAGTACATATTTGGGTGATAGATGCGCGCTGCCTGTGCTGCTTGCTTTTCACTGAACTCCGAACCAGCGCTTTCAACACAGCCGCCTTAGCCCGGGCCAACCTTGGGAATGTCGTGGTGCTCGCTAAGATTCGCCAGGTACTTGTTAAAGTCCTCCACGCGCTGCCTGTGCGACTTACTCGCGCCCCTAGCGGCCCGTTCCGCCTCTAGCTTCTCCAGCTGTTCGTGATACCGCCGCTCCGCGGGCGTGCGGAGATCTTCCGCCTCCTCCTGCGCCTGCTGCTCCCCCTCTTCCTTCCCCCCCGCCCCCCCTACCGCCACTGTGCCTGACTCGTGCAATCCCGCGGCGCCGCCGCGCGCCTCTTCCTCTTTAAGAGCCGCTTCGGCGTCCCGAAGCGCTTGTAGCTGCAGCGAGTCGAGGTTAACGGCTTTCGCGGTCTTTTTCTTCTTCTTCTTGACGCCGCCTATGGACGGCAGCGCGCGGTCGCCGCCTTTCAGTTTCAGTTTACCGCCGATGACATTGCTAAACGACATCGCGACGTCAGACCGGCCGTCGACGCCTGCTAGCAGTCAGGTCGGCTGTCACCGTCTGGTGGCCGTCAAGCTGGTCGTAATCTGGCGGCAAGCGAACCAACGACGGCGGAAGCTGCTGTTACCCCTGTCTTGAGACGAGCGATTGATAATACCCGTGCTTTAAGATTAAGACGGATCGCGATTGGTGGACAAGCTTTCAATCAGGCTGCTACAAACGAGATTCAAATAACCCTGTCAAAAGATGCTGCGCACCTCAACGGACCCGGGAAAGAATAACAGTGGTGAGATAAGCTTGATTCTTCACCAGCTCGATAAGATGCAACACGGTGATGTTCAGGCAAACGCGTGTGGAGCGGGATAGCTTGGTCTCTGAACCGAAGGCTAGTCAAGTGCCGTATGGAAAACCATCACGATGATCCTCGAATGAGGGAAGTATCTACCCTCAGTAATAGCGGACTCGCTTCAACATACAGCGAGGAAGGAAGATACGCACCTTGACGCTTAGCAAGGTGAATTGCAATGCTTCCAGATATACAGGGGTTAGTTTTGAGAAAACTCCGTGTAATAATTGATACTTCTCTCATTCAAAGAGAAACAATCCAGAGTGTTATAGTATGCTTGTCTCTCGCACCCTGTGATTGTCAAGAAAGCACAACTTCACCCCCCTGCACTCCCCCATTCATTAACCCTGTCCCTTTTGCCAAGAATATCGTTCCCACAAACCGGACCTGACGCTTTTTGTTAGTCTGATCTGATCATTCCCCCTCCATTATGCCGACAGTCTCTCCTTGGCTTCAGCCATCAATTCCTCTAGGGCATCCACATCGGCTGGCACTGCTGCTGTCAAATTCTGCAAGGTATGTATAGAGGGAATTGAATGGAATGACAGACATCAAGATAAAATGACATGATGAAGTCCTAGGTTGTTAATGCCACGCATAATCAATGCCAGCACCATCAATGGCTCTAGGGCATCCACATCGGCTGGAACTGCTGCTGTCAGATTCTGCAAGTTAGGGAGGGAATGTTCTGACAGACATAAGGAGGGCATGAAAGACTTGTGTTACAGTGCAGCTCATGCCACACACCATCCACGCCACCCACCACCATCAATGGCTCTAGGGCATCCACATCGGCTGGAACTGCTGCTGTCAGATTCTGCAAGTTACTGAGGGAATGATGTGACAGACACCAGGAGGGAATGAAATAACGTACAGTACTGTTGATACAACACACCATAAGCGCTACCACCATCAATGCCTCTAGAGCATCCGCGTCGGCCAGAACAGCTGCTGTCAGGTTCTGCAAGGTATGGAGGGAATGGAATGGCGGTACCGCATAAAGAAATGGCTGATAAAAGGCACGACTTGCATTGCTTGGAAACTTAGAATGTGCGTGCGTGCATTTGCCTTTCAAACGCTGTGGTTGTAATACGATGAACTGTCAACACTCGGAGAGCACTCCAGGTATGTGAGGACGACTTCGAAACACAGTGCATGCAAAGTTAAGTTGTGAACAACGAAGCCATTTTGAAGAGAAAACAGCGCACAGGGAGCTAGAACAGATAAACGATGTTGAGGAAAGTGACATGGCACATGGCATGGCATGTGGCATGACATGGCACGAGATTTAACGTTGTTGCAGCCCCATGACTCTCATGCGCAACCCATGCACATGCCATGGAGTTAACACATCACATTGTGAATATCATGCCGACCCCATACCATCATCCTGTGTGCCTAGGAACCTGCTTAGAAAATAGTAAATGAGCATTTAGATAAATCAATAGAAAATGCGTGAATGAACAATTAAAAGTATATGTGTGCAATAACAACATTTACCTCGTAACCGTCAGCCGTGACCAAAATGTCATCCTCTATCCGCACACCTATGCCACGCAGACTGGGGGAGTGAAGGGTGTGGAGAGACAGGGGAGAGAGCGGGAATGACGGAGAGAGTGAGTAGCAGATGAGCTTTGCATCGATTCAAATATTCTGCAGATTGAGGGAGAGAAGGCTTTTGAGGCGGCTCAAGAGGAGTGGCTACAGACGGAGGAGTGAGAAAATTGGGGGATGGAAAAATCGGTTGCAAGTGCCACGGTTGGGTTTGGAATCACAGGGTGCAAAGAACGGCCAACATGGGATTATGAGTGCAGAATGGGCGTCTGACAGCTTTGTTTTTCTCGGATGACTCAATCTTTATATAATTCCACACATCTTGTAGTCGTCACAAAAATCGGTATGGGAGTATGATGAGTATGGGATGGAAGTCTCACTGCTTTGGCACTTGGTCAATGTCTGGGAGATAGAGGCCTGGCTCGATTGTCAGTACCTGTGCGTTGCGAGATCAAGGGTGGCAAAGCAGGAGAATGAGATGGAGGAAGGATATAAGCACAAGCCGTTAATGCCGCTGTGCTTCACACGGCTTTAACACTTGCTCAATGTCTGGGAGACAGAGGCCTGACTCGATAGTGAGCAGCTGTGCATTGGGGGAGCACGGATGGCAGGGTAAGAGAACAAGGAGGGAGGACATAAGAGCAAGCAGTCAATGCCGGCTGTGCGTCTCACTGCTTTGGCACTTGCTCAATGTCTGGGAGATAGAGGCCTGGCTCGATAGTGAGCACCTGTGCATTGGGGGAGCATGGATGGCAGGGTAAGAGAACAAGAAGGAGGGAGGACATAAGAGCAAGCAGTCAATGCCGGCTGTGCATCACACTGCTTTGGCACTTGCTCAATATCTGGGAAATTAAGGCCTGGCTCGATAATCAGCACCTGTGCATTGGTGTAACCTGCATGCATGATTAAGCAGGACACTGAGAAGGAGGGAGGGGAAATGAGGAAGCAGGCGACAAACAGCGAATGCATGGAGGGCAGCGCACAACGGATTCTGGATGCGACTTGTAAGTCGACTCAAAAGTCAGCAGGTCAGGGCGATTTTTGAGGCGCCTCAAAAATGCATGGAGGGCAGGGCACAACAGATTCTTGATGCGACTTTTGAGTCGACTCAAAAGTCAGCAGGGCAGGGCACAACGGATTCTGGATGCGCTTTGGATTGTGAATGCTCGATACGCTCCTTTTTACCATACCACAAGCAAATCACACAGTGAATTCATTCAAAGCTTGATGATTTTCAAATTGGGCCGCAGCGACGTTGAGCGTGGGAGATGAATTGAGATACTTTTGAGTCGACTCAAACATTGGGCGGCAGAGACGTTGACTCTGGAAGATAAATTGGGAGAGGAAACTGACTCACCACACAGCGCTCACGGAGTTTGTCTTTATTCTCAACCTAACCCTAAAATCTGAACCCCAAAACCCTGATTTGACAAGGAGTGAAGATGGGCTCACTATATTGGGTTTGAGCGGCTGAAAGGAGGAGACCGATGCACAGTCGTGTGTGTCCAGCCCTAGCCAGTGCCCTGCCACGCCCCCACCAGTCATGGCACCATCTTTCCATGCAAGTGACCCTAAACCCGAAACCCCGTATCTGAAACCCTACACGTCAACACTGACAAGAGGGAAAGCGGGCTCACCACACCAGGCTTGAGCTTCTCAAAGGAGGAGACCGAGGCACAGTCGTGTGTGTCCAGCCCCAACCAGTGCCCTGCCACGTGGTAAAGTCTTGAGGTGAACAGGATGGGTTTGAATTGAAAAACCGACAAGCATAAGGTTCGCTGCCGAAAACGAAAGTCACCAAGCGAGAAGGCTCACCAACTGAGGTCGGGTAAAACTGCCGGAATGCTCCTCTCGCCACCTGCTGCGCTGGGCCCTGGCACACTCCCAGCTGCACCAGAGCCGAGGAGAGGGATATCACCTGGTGGTTTCAGGGGCAGTTGAATGAGAATAGATTAATAAGCCGATTTTAAAACCACCTCACACCACCTGCTGTGCCGAGCCCTGGCACACTCCCAGCTGCACCAGAGCCGAGGAGAGGGATATCACCTGGTGGTTCCAGAGGGGGTTGGATGTGGGTGGGAAGACATGGAACAAGAACGGAAGGCTCCTCTCGCCACCTGCTGTGCCGAGCCCTGACACACTCTCAGCTGCACCAGGGCCGATGAGAGGGATATCACCTGGTGGTTTTAGGGGCAGTTGAATTAGGAAAGATTAATAAGTCGATTTTGAGCCCACCTCACACCACCTGCTGTGCCGAGCCCTGGCACACACCCAGCTGCACTAGAGCCGAGGAGAGGGATGTCATCTGGTGGTGCCTCGTGGGGGGCAATCACTTGCAAGGAGAACAAAGTACGCTCTGTGTGTTGCCTGTGCCTTCACAGTCGCTCCCAGCCTGACTTGCACATGGTAATGCACTCCACGTTCGCTGAGTGCTTGCCTGTGCCCCACTTACACAGCATTCTGATGTGCCATCCCAAGCACCCACCGAGTGTTGGTGCATGTCCCTCAGAGTGGCGCCTGGCTTGCACATGGCAACGCACTCCCCAATCCCCAAATGCGTGCCTGTGCCGTCCCCACCCACCCAGACAGTCCTCAACGTCAACCAAGCAAGCACCCAATGCTGTTGCTACATGTGCCAGCATGCCCCTCACAGCAGCATGCCGCACCCACCGAGTGTTGGTGAATGTCCCTCAGAGTGGCGCCTGGCTTGCACATGGCAATGCACTCCCCAATCCCCAAATGCGTGCCTGTGCCATTCAAACCCACACAGTACTCGCTGACTCACTCACGACCTACCAACCACCCACCGAGTGCTGGTGAATGTCCCTCAGCGTGGTCCCCGGCCGGCACATGGCGATGCACTCCATCATTGGCAGGAGTGTGCCTGTGCCTGTCCCACTTACCCACACACACCGTAATCAACACCAACTAAGCACCCACCCAGTGCTACTGCATGCCCCACCCACCGAGTGCTGGTGAATGTCCCTCAGAGTGACCCCCGGCCGACACACGGCATTGCACTCCACCATCGCCAGCCTGCCTGTGCCACCAACTCACTCACCATGAACCAAGCACCCACCCACCCAATGCCATCCCACCCACCGAGTGTTGGTGAATGTCCCTCAGAGTGGCCCCAGGCCGGCACATGGCAATGCACTCCACCATCGCCTCCCGCACCGCCTCGTACACTGCTCTCTGCCACGTCAGCACAAGGGGGGGAAGGACCTCTGCCACGTCAGCGTGGTGAAACAGTAATCAACGAGCTATGCCACGTCAGGATGGCAGAACATATTTGGTGGTAAATGGGTGGTGCTGGCAATGAATAGGAGAAACGGATAACGTGATGAAAGAAGTGCTTTGAGACGTCTCAAAACGCTGATAGTGAATCGGAGAAACGAGTAAAGACGAACCGGAATGCCAAGACGAAAGGCACGTGCCTAAACGCCAGGTGCCTTTTGAGTCGACTCACAAGTCAATACAACCACCTAACCACTGCTGCGCCAATAAATGCCTGCCTGATCAGGGGAGAATCTTTAAGCTCCTCAAAAGGCGATATTTTAGGCGCCTCAAAAACCATCAACCTACTGCTGCGCCAATACGTGCCTGAGCGGAGGAGAATTTCCCAAAGGGCGGCCACACGCGTGTGATGTCGGAGGCATAGCCAAAGTACTCACACCCCGCATCCACCAGTAGCGCCTCCCCTGGTTGCACCTGAGGGGGAGAGTAGAGGGAGGGAGTGATTAGACTGCTAGACTGCAGGGGAGAATCTCCCGCAGGCGGCCACACGCGTGTGATGTCAGAGGCATAGCCGAAGTACTCACACCCCGCGTCCACCAGTAGTGCCTCCCCTGGTTGCACCTGCGAGGAGGGGGGACGACAGAGACGTGGAGTGTGCGTGCGTGCGTGCGTGCGTGCGTGCGTGCGTGCGTGAGTGTACCTCGGCATATTGTTGTTTGACTCACGGGCTTGTCGTTGCGCAGGTAGTGAACGGACTAAGTTGCCAAATACGCTTATTGCGTATATACGCGTATCGTATATACGCGTTATCTTATATACGCTAGCGTATGTGCGCTATTCGCGTAGGGGTCGATTTGGACATACGCTTTTCCAGGCAGGAAAAAAACGTTCCCGGGCAGGGCAAAAAAAAGATACTCCCTATTCTTAGGCGTCCCCCAGCATTCTCTTGATATCGAAAGGTGGGTGAGGAGGGAGGTGGAGGCGACAATAGCGCTTGGACGCGAAAATGGATAGGAAATGACTGGAGTTGGGGTGTTTGGTAAGTGGCGTGAGGGTTGTCGGGGTTTCGATTTTGAGAAGTTGGAGTTCGTGGATAAGATGGGGTTCAATGCGGTAGATGGGATGGGTTTCAATGTGTAGATCTGAAATCCAACTTTCGATTTGCCAGATCTGCCTGGGCAATTCGAAGTCAATTTCCCGCTTGCCTGGACCACGGATTTGCATTTCGACATTGGCGACAAGGTCACCAAGAAAATCCGCATCTAATTCATGTTTTTTTTTTGGCAGCCCTAAAAATTTCCGTATTGCGTTTAGCGTATTTGCTTGCGTTTAGCGTGTACATGCTAGCGTATTTCCGCTAAATGCAAAGTGACCTGAGCGTATTCGGCAACTTAGGTGAACGATGCAGCCGCTGCTCGGCATCCCAAGGGTCACCTTAACTCATCGTTGAAGGGCTGCAGTAGTTGTAAAGACGCTTAAACAAAGGAACAACAGTGAAAAAACGAGTGTGAGAAATGCAGATCTGAAAGAACCTTAGCTTCCGAAAAGCCTCCTTGACGAAGACTCGCGGACTTGTCGCTGCACATGGTGGAGGGAACCACATGGTTCAGCATAAGTCGTGTGCTGCAACCAAAAGATTCGGCATGTGCTAAAACTATCTCGCGGATGGGTTCGGCGGTTCGACATGTCTTGGGTAAGGATGAGATGGATTCAATACAAGACAAGAGGACCGAGATGTTGGAATGGTGGAGTGTGATTAAAGATGTGGATTCGAAGAGGGTCGAGTGGGGTGCTGATGGCCAGTATCTGCGAGCAGTTTGGGTGCGTCTTAAAATCGCAAGGGCAATGGATCTGGCTGCTCTTGAGGATCTCACAACATCTCGGTAGCAGCAAAAGAAGCAGGCGATACAGCCAACGCAGCAACTGCCGAAGCAGAAGCCACCATTCCAACATCTCGGTCCTCTAACGGCCCTTGAGCAGTTGTGAGATTCTTGTGACTAGCCAGCTCCAGCGCCCTTACAATTTCAAGACGCGCACAAATTGCTCGCAGATACTGGCCATCAGCACCCCACTCGACCCTCTTCGAATCCACATCTTTAATCATACTCCACCATTCCAACATCTCGGTCCTCTTCGTATTGAATCCATCTCGTCCTTACTCAAAACATGTCGAACCGCCGAACCCATCCGCGAGATAGTTTTAGCACATGCCAAATCTTTTGGTTGCAGCACACGAGTTATGCTGAACCATGTGGTTCCCTCCACCTGAGTCAGGAACTTGCCCCCCTATCCATTGCCCATTGACTCACGGGCTTGTCGTTGCGCAGGTAGTGAACGATGCAGCCGCTGCTGCCGCCTGCCACCACTGGAGGGTAGCTGGAGGGGAGGGGGAAGGGGTGTGGTGTGGGGGGGGAGGTGGATTTGGAACAGACAGGTGGAGGTGGGGGGAAAGGAGGGCCGGAGGTAGCGAACGATGCAAGTGCTGCTGCCGCCTGCCACCACTGGCGGGTAGCTGGATGAGGGAGAAAAGTGGGTGGGAGGGAGTGAAAGAGAGTCATAGAGGTGGGTGGGAGGGAGTGAAAGAGAGTGAAAGAGGTGGGCGGGAAGGGGGGCAATCTAGGTGGAGGGAAGAAAGGGCTGGAGTTAGTGCGCAGGACAGTGAGATGCAGGATGCGTTTGTGATCAAAACGACTTTTGAGGCACCTCAAAAGAGATGCAGGATGCGTTTGTGATCAAGAGGTGCAGTGCAGCTATGAATGGCAAGATAGATATGAAAGGCCTTGGATTCAGGCCTTAATTCCTTAGTTTTCCTCCCCGTGATTCCCCCTCCCTTTTGCTCCCCTTGCTACAAGCACAGCCACTCAGTAACCTCATTGAGTGCCGACGTCTCAAAACCCCCAACACTCACGCGAATCGCTGTGCTCCCCTTCGCTTGCACTCAAACTCAATCAGACCAGAAATGTGCACCTCGTGTGGCAACGACCCTCCCATGTGTCCCCCTCATGTCATCGTCCTATATTCACAATCCCAGTAATCCCACTGAGTGCTGAGACATCTCAAGTCAAGACTTCCCCAACACTCACGCAAATCGCTGTGCTCCTCGTCGCTTGCACTCAAACTCGATCAACACAGAAATGTGCCCCTCGTGTGGCAACGACCCTCCCATGTGGTCTTCTTCGCAGGTGGAAGCAAAACCAGGCCCTCCTCCTCCTCCTCCTGCTCCCCCTCTTCCTCCTGCCACTGCCACGGCAGCTGAATGCCTCATAGCTGTCAGAAAGGCCTGCAGGCAACTCAGTCACGCACAAAGAACAAACACGATACACACGAGCGAGGCTACGAATAAGCATAATATACCCCAGTCAGCTGCTCCTAATATATCCAGGAAGCACCTCAAAAGTGCAATGACATGATACAATCTGAATATCAGAGTATCTAAAAACTAGCCAACCGGGATTGATTAACATCGCTGAATCCCAGCAGCTTGCAACCAGCCGTGCGATCCCGGCCGTCCATCCGTTACCTCTGCTGTGATCTCAGCCGCCCGTCGCATGAGCCGCTGTTCCGCCTCGGATTTGATCCACCGCTGCTCGTCCAGAGCACTACGGGACGACAGCAGCCGCCCGGTTGCCAGCTCAGCGGCGAGAACCGGCACTGTAGCAATCAGATCGCGATTGGCCCGATGGTCACAGTAGATACGAGGAGGTGGAGAGCGGTCGGAGGAGTAAGAGGAGGGGAGGGAGGAAGAAGAGGAGAGTCGGTGTGCTGCGATGCGTTGCTGGGCTTCAAGAAGGTACTGCGAGTGTGTGAGATGTGAAGGGGAGTGGTAAGAGAGGGTGAAGGGGAAACAGGTGTTGGGCGTCAAAGAGATATTGAGAGAGTGTGTGAGATACGGAGGGGTGGGGGACGACGTGGGTCAAGGAGAACGTTGAAAGGAAGAGAACATGACTGAAGAATTTGACGGAAGTGACACCAAGAGAGTTTCTGATCACATTCGTACAAATAGTGAGGGATGGCAACATGACGACAAAACAAGTTCCCACTGCAGAATAAAGATGGATGGCTTGCAACAGGAAGGAAGTGCCTCGTTGGGGCCAACCAGGAAGAGGCAGGCTGTCTATAAACACACCTCGTGATTGGTTCGGGTGAGGGAAACATGCATGATCTTAGCATACCTCGTTGAGAGAATCCGTAAACAGGGCTCGGTCCGGTTTGAAGAAGGCCGCGGCAGCAGGAGGGTCCAATGCCCTGCCGTCCCACACCACCATCTGCGGGCGATTGGATGGAAGGGAAGAACAGGGTGGGTGGACGAACAGAGCATGGCAGCTTGGGACAACTGGTTGGGAGTATCTACGAAGAGGTTTCTGTGTGGTTTAAAAAAGGTTCAGGCAGCAGGTGGGTCCAACGCCCTGCCGTCCCACACCACCATCTGGGGGCGATTGGATGGAAGGGAAGGGACAACAGCGTGAAGAGGAGCTTGAGATGATGGGCTTTAACTGCAGACGAGGTTGAGGGATGTGTGGGTGTGCGGTTTAGGTATGTGAAGATCTGAGCAGCGGAGAGGGTTGGGTTGGTAAGGGTTGCAGAAGATAATTTATCCGGAATGAGAGGGAGAGAATGAGAGAGTGATGGGAGAGAACAAGAGAGTGATTTTTTTGCATGACATGCCATGTTGTGCTAGCATGTCGCACCATGCTTTGTGATTCTCTGCCCATGGCTCGACATCGCTAACACACATAAAGCAGCCCACCCACCAACGCACATCAGCTCGTTGCCGCGGCAAGAACAACGTGAAATGCACATCTCCTCCCCCTCCCCCTCCTCCATCCCCCATCTCCCCACTCACTCCCCCACTCCCCCCACCAGCAGCACTATTTCCCACACCAGCACCACCGCTCCCCCCATCCGCAGCACCACTCCCCCCACTCACTCCCCCTCTCCCCCCATCGCTTTCAATCACAGCCACCACACCCGGGTGCCAGCACCCTGTGAGGTAAATCAGATCTGAGTCCGGGCGGTAGGGGAACGGCACTATGCCGGCCATATACCGCACTGGAGCCGCGCCCACCACTAGCACGCTGCCACGTGGCAGCCTGGCCATCACTGCCCTGCGCCGGGCGGCGAACTCTGACGCGGTGACACCTGGCAGGATGTCATTGGGGCCGAGCAGCTGTGGGAAGGGAGAGTGAGAGGAGGAGGGGGAGAAGGGGAGAGGGGAAGGCGGGAGTAAGGAGAGGGGAGAGGAGAGGGGCTGAGGGAGAGGGACAGGAGAGAGAAGGGAAACGAAGGTTACAGAAAGGCTCCTTATTCCCCCGCTTATTCCCCCACTCCGACACCCCCACCTCAAACTCCCCTGCCTCTTCTACTCAGCCAGTTTCGCCCCTCCCCCTCCTCCCCGCCCATCCTCCACCAAACTTCCCATCTTCCCACCTCCCTCCTCTTCCTCTCTCACCTCCACGTGGCTCTCATGCGTCTACCGTCCACCCCGCTCCAAGTTCCCCCAACCCTCCCTCCCCACCCTTTCCCTGCTTCCCTTTCCACATCACCTCCCCTACCCCCCCTCTTCCCCCCCCCTCTCTCCCCCGTCTCCCCTCTTCCTCTCTTGCCTCCTGGTGTGTCAGCAGCTGTCCACTCCGCTCCCTCCTCCCCACCTTTGAGGCGACTCAAAAGAGCTCCCCACCACTTCCCCATAACCCCTTTCCCCTCCCCTCCCGTTCCCCCAAGCTTCCCCCTCCCCCCTCCCGCCTCTCTTTCCGGCGCCTCGCCTCCTCTACTCCCCGCCCCCCTCCCTCCCCCTCTTCCTCTCTCACCTCCGGGTGGCTTGGCTTGGCTGCCTGCCCCGCTCCCAGTTTCCCTCCTCCCCCCCCCTTAGTCCCCCCCCTATCCCCTCGAGTTCCGCCAACTCCCCCCTCTTCCCCGCCCCCCTCCCTCCCCCTCTTCCTTTCTCACCTCCGGGTGGCTCTCATGCGTCGGCTGTCCCACCTCCACGTTCCCGCCATCCCGCCAATCACCTGCTGCCACGTGCAGACCTCGGCTGCCGCTGTGCTTCCAGCTGGCGACACGAAGATCCGCGGTACTAGCGAGCGATGACGCACCAGAGATTCGATATGGAAAGATTTGATCATTCGAGATTTGAGATTTGGAGATCTGATTCAAGGTAAGTATTCTGCGGGAACTAACGCAACTTCCCTGGTTGGGCTTTAGGCTGTAATCTGCACTGGAGTGTGGTGCGACCGCAGCGCGCGAAGGCGAGTGGGTGGGAGATGGAAATAGGACAGGAGAGTACGATGATGCCCATGGGAAGATCGAGCGGTACTTGCGACGGCCCCTCGCGAGGCGCCACATGGCGACACGTGGTTCGCGAGGCCACGTGGATCGCTGTTCTGGCGTGGCGTGCAGTGGCGAGCAAATTAGCGGAATTCCGAGCGATTTTCGTTCCGACTTCGTGCGGTCCCCTGCTTTCGAGGCACAGTGTACTAGCCAGCTCTGGCTGGGTTTGAGGCGGTTATGGGTTCTCACATCAGCTAGCAATTCCACCACTTTAATTATCAACAAGCCAAGTTAATTAATCTTGATTGTTTAGCGAATCACGAGTATCGGGTACGGCATTTTGGGGATTTGCTTGTTTTGAAACGCGCACCAGCATGAATTCTTGGTCTCAAACAGGGTCGACGGGGAAACAGAAGGCTGGTTCGTTTGGGACTTGCAAGCTGTAACGCCTGGCGGTAGGCGATCGTCGCCGATGTTCGTTTTTCCCAGAACCGAACCGCTGTCCCTTGTTTCGAACTGCTTGTCAATTTATGGGCGACTCTTGCGAGGTTCTGCGTGACGGCCTGGTTACAAATACTCGCGACACAAGTGACACCCCATCCTCCTTTGTTCTGAGGTTACAAATACTCGGGACACAATGACGGTGTAGATAATTTGGAATTCTTCATAGCGCGAATTCTGCGAGCTGGGAAGACCGCCGCGCCATGTCCGCATCAGCGCGCGCCGCATCTTTCGCTTGCCTTCCGCTTTTCTGCTCCCGCGCGCTCTCCTCCGCCATCGCTTTCCCCCCCGCACCCATTTTGCGCGCGCCCCTCCCTCCGCCGTCTGGTTACGCCTTCCGCGCGCGCTTTCACTCCGCGGAAGCTCCGTCTTTGCGGATTCAGTCCGGATTCGGTGGCAGGAACGATCTCGTGCTTTCCCGCGCAAGCGCGTTCACTCCCCGCTTTGCGCCAGTTGCGCAAGGTATCAGCGGAGAATCACCACGCCTTGCTGCTGATTCCGCAAGACCGAGCGGGCGCGATCCGCGGAGGCCGGCGATGGCGCACGCGGGGACAGGCGGAAGCGCCGGCGCGGAAGAGGGAGCTTCGGCGGAGCGGGCGGAGCGGAAAGTTGCGCCATTTGGGGCGTGGGAGTCCCCCATCGGCGCGGATATGGCGAGCGGCGCAAGCCTGCGCTTCGGGGGGGCGGCGGTGGATAGCGCGGGGCGCCTGGTGTGGGCGGAAGGCAGACCGACAGAAAAGGGGTGAGCAATTCACCTCCTAGCAGTGAAATTTCTTTTGCTACAACTCAAAAGCCTATTCAAGAGTCGGTTCGGGGGGGCGGCGGTGGATAGTGCGGGGCGCCTTGTGTGGGCGGAGGGAAGACCTACGGAAAAGGGGTGAGCGATTAACATCCTAGTAGTGGAAGTGACTAAAAAGAGGGCCGAGCCGACTGTAGTGCAGATTTGGTCGAGATGCCGAGGTCAACAATTCCACTCACACTCACTCGGCTGCTCCACCCCTCTCGCCCCCTTCCTTCTCCTCCCCTCCCCCCCTCTCCCCTCGTCTTCCCCATTCCTTCCCAATACAGTCGGGTGGTGGTGGTGAGGGAGGGGACACGTGGCGCAACCCCGTTGGACGTCTCGCCTCCCTCCATGAGCGTGCGATCCCGCGTGCACGAGTACGGGGGAGGGGCCTTTCTGGTCGCCCCTTCCCCTCCTCCTGCCACATCAGCTGCCACGTCGGATGCCACGTCAGCAGCTACCAGCAGTGTGGCGGGCGATCTGCTGATCTTCTCCAATGGAGCTGATCAACGGCTGTACGCGCTCGAGATGCCATCCGACGGCTCCGATTCTGCCGAAGGTGTGTCCATCGATGTGGTATGTATGTATGTACTTACTTAATAGCATGTGCGCATGCATTTTGCTTTGATGCATGCAATAGCACTACACCTTCTCTTCCATCACCGGTCCCCGAACCTCGAACCTCCACCGTCCTCCTCCCCCGTGTTTAATCCTCTCACACTCACTTCCCAACCCACCCCATCGCACAGCACCTATGAGCCACGTCCGCTGACCCCTGCTTCGAGCCACCTGCCACTCTGTCAACCCCTCTTGCATCCTCTCCACCCAAATCCACTCACACTCACACAGCGCCCCAGCCCGTCCACTGACCCCTGTGGTCGAGCCACCTGCCTCTCTCTCACCATCTCTTGCATCCTCTCCACCCAAATCCACCTTCAGCCATGTGTTTAAGCGAGCAGCAGTCTAAAAGAGAACTTTTAGCAAAAGATTAATGGTAGCGAGTCTGTTGTTGTATCCTGCTTCAACCAATAAAATTTAAGAAATCCAACCCAACTTCCACTAGTGGATTAAAAATCGAGGAAAAGTAGTTTCGGTGGACGGGACAGGATCCAACCACAGCGTCATCAGTGCAACTGAGGGCATAACAAACGGGGAGGAACTGCCTTCGACAAGTAGGGTTTTAAGGAGGGGTAAAGGTTGCCAAGCAAACTTGTCAGACCCTTACTCTCTTTTTAATCTTGGCAGCAGGGAATTGGGATACAGAATGTGGGTTGAGCACCGGATTTGCAGCATGGCCTGTTGGCACCACATTCTATGAACCTCGTGTGGCTCAAGTTAAGCATTACGTCATGATAAGCATTACAATGATGCAAGGCCAACATGTCCGGTTGGTGCTCGGTATGAGTTTCGTAGAATATAATGCCAACATAACATGCTGCAAATCTCGTGCTCCGCCCACATTCTGAATCGTGATTCCTTGCTTCCAAGATTGGAAGGGGAGTACGGTTGGAAAAGGTTTGCCCAGCGATTACTCCCTGTTCATTATGCCCAATCATCCACTTGCCTCTCTGTCACCCTCTTTTGCATCCTCTCCACCCAAATCCACTCACACCTCCATTCTCCCCTCTTCGGTCTTCTCACGCTAAACCCGAAACCCTAAACCCGTCCCACAGCGCCCCAGCCTCGTCCACTGACCCCTGTCGTCGAGCCACCTAGCGCGCTGCGATTCGCTGATGGCCGGCTGGACGTGCACAGGCGGCGAGTGATATGCGTGCAGGAGGGTGAGATCTGATATGCGTGCAGGAGGGTGAGATCTGATATGCGTGCAGGAGGGTGAGATCTGATATGCGTGCAGGAGGGTGAGATCTGATATGCGTGCAGGAGGGTGAGATCTGATATGCGTGCAGGAGGGTGAAATCTGATATGCGTGCAGGAGGGTGAGATCTGATATGCGTGCAGGAGGGTGAGATCTGATATGCGTGCAGGAGGGTGAGATTTGATATGCGTGCAGGAGGGTGAGATCTGATATGCGTGCAGGACGGTGAGAGTTAAGACATATCTTTGCTTTCTCGAGAAGGCGAGGGAAATCTGAAGGGGAAGCGGCAAAGTTATAAGCCCTTCCTCCTTCGAAATCCTTCCTACTGCTTCCTGCATGCTTGGACCATTCCATTGCCCTGCTGCTCCTTCGTGGTCCCCCATTGCCCATTTCTAGCACCTGTCGAGCTGCATTTGTGACTTTTGAGTCGACTCAGAGTCACCTTTTAGTACCTGGTCTGTTTATTCATTCCTGTCCCTTCCGCCTTTGCCCCGTTCCACAGCCCATCCTTTCCTTGACCCTTTCCATGCTCTGAATGGCAGACCATCGCCAAAGCACCAGCAGTGGGGGCGGAACCGAGGAGCACGGGGGACATGGCGAGCCGAGTAATATGATTGTGGCAGTCTCGTTGGATAGTGATGGTACTGACGGTGAGTTGGTAGCGTGTTTGTATTTCACTCTTGAGTTGAGTCAGAAACATGGCGAGCATGGGTAATGTTGTCGGGATGACCGACTTACCTTCAATCCCGTCACTGTGGAAGCACAGCGATGGGACAGAAGGTGAGTTGAGAACTTGTTTGGACCGCATTCTTGAGTTGAGTCAACAGCACAGGGAGCATGGGGATTTCGCCACACCCGTGTGAACCACTCGTCTGAGATGATTTCTCCTCGCAGTTACCCCCCTCGTCGACCCTCAACAATATTCCCAGTCCCCGTGGCGCTGGCGAGTGGAGCAGACTTCTATGCATCCCTACTCCTGATTCCCGATGGCAGGCGGCTGGCATGGACGGAGTGGGACCTACTTGTACGCCTCACACACCATCCATTCACCATCCTACTTGTAGTGCTGGCATGGCATCTGGAGCAGAAATCTACGCCTCCCCACGCCTGAGTCCCGATGGCAAGCAGCTGGCATGGATGGATGGAATGGAGTCACTTGTACAAAAAACAAGAGCAAATGGAGTCATCACCACACCTGAGCCATTTGCCTCATTCCAAAAACAAAGCCTCGCATTCCACCCCCCTCCCCGACCCTCAACTCTCCCAGTCCCGTGGTGCTGGCGAGTGGTGCAGACTTCTACGCCTCGCCTCGCCTGAGTCCCGATGGCAGGCAGCTGGCATGGATGGAGTGGAGCCACCCGCACCCTTCAACCTCGTTCCCCCCTCTTCCCCCCCCTTCCCCCCCTTCCCCTTCAGTCCCCGTGCTGCTAGCATCTGGAGCAGACTTCTACGCCTCCCCACGCCTGAGCCCGGATGGCAAGCAGCTGGCATGGATGGAGTGGAGCCACCCGCACATGCCGTGGGAGAGGAGTCGGATCATGGTGGGGGCGTTTGATGATGATGGGTAAGTAGAGGCGTGGTGTGGTGCGGTGTGGTGCGGTGTGGTGCAAGGGGCAGCTGGCATGGATGGAGTGGAGCCATCCCCACATGCCGTGGGAGAGGAGCCGGGTGATGGTGGGGACGTTCGATGAGAAGGGGTAAGTCATGGGTCCGTGTCTGTGTGCGTGCATGTGTCATGGCATGGCATGGCATGGCATGGGATGGCAAGCAGCTGGCATGGATGGAGTGGAGCCACGCACAAATGCCGTGCGAGAGGAGTCGCGTGATGGTGGGGACATTCGATGAGAAGGGGTATGTTGAGACATGGTGTGGTGTGCGGTACGGTATTGTGTGGTGTGGTGTGGTGCAAGGGGCAGCTGGCGTGGATGGAGTGGAGCCACCCCCACATGCCATGGGAGAGGAGTCGCATCATGGTCGGGACGTTTGATGATGATGATGGGTATGTTGATGCATGGCGTTTATCGACTGGCATGAAGCACGGCAGCTGGCATGGAGTGGGACCATTTGCACATGCCGTGGGAGAGAAGCTGCGTGATGGTCGGGACGTTCTATGACAATGGATATGTGATAGGTGTTGTGTGATCGGGTTCTTTATTCCCCACATTCCATTCTCCACCCTCCATTCCCCAGTCTCCATCACTCACCTTCCATCTCCACGATCCTTTCCCCTCCTCTCACGGCAATGTTTGCAGAGGGACTTTCTGTTTTTTTACTTGTAAAATAACCATTTCTGCGACTCTCCCTCCCCTTTCGCCCTACCTTCCCCCTTCAGTTGCCTCACCGCTGTGCAGTGTGCAGCAGGAGCAGATGCTTCTGTGGTGGAAGCACCCATGGAACCCCTCTGGTCGCCACAAGGTACCGAGCCAGCGAAAGTGCATTGTTACGCAGTAACCAGCTTATGTGGGAACAGCATTGCATGTATGGGTAGACGCAGGAGCAGATGCTTCTGTGGTGGAAGCACCCATGGAACCCCTTTGGTCGCCACGAGGTAATGAAATGGATGGGCAGCATTGATATGTTACATGAGAACCAACATATGTGGGAACAGCATTGCATGTATGGGTAGACGCAGGAGCAGATTATGCTGTAATAGGAGCACCTAAGGGACCCCTCCGGTCGCCGCAACATAACAATAGAGAGAGCAGCAGCACCAGTGGCACAAGCAGTGGTTACGGCAGATCTAAATTGCACAGTATTGCAGCAACTGGTCCTGTGTGGTAAATTGGAGTGGAGTGGAGTGGAGTGGAGTGGTGTGGAGTGAAGTTGCATTTCTATTTTCTGCATAACCGCTTCATCCCGCCCCAAGGTATATCTTTCCCCTCCTCCCTCCTCTACCCTCCCCTCAGGTGAGCTCTACTTCCTCTCAGATCGCCTCTCTGGCTTCTGGTCTTTGCACCGATGGGTGGGTGCTCCTGTGCAGGTGGCATTGTGGTAACCAGCATCAAGTAGCAATCGAGGTATATCTTATAGGTTCTTTCTTTCCCCTCTCACCTTCTCTCCCCTCTCACCTTCTCTCCCCTCTCTCCTCTCCCCGCTCCCCTCCTTCTCTCCCCTCTCTTCCTTCCCTCCAGGCGAGCTCTACTTCCTCTCGGATCGCCTTACCGGCTTCTGGGCTCTGCAAAGATGGGTGGGTTTTATTGCTTCGCTCAGATGGTACCTACCTACACTGTTCAGGTGTTGCCTGCCCAGTTTTCCGCTACCTACCGTGTACTGCCTTTGCAATCTCGCCTGTTTGCAAAAGTGACCCAAAGAGAATTCTCTGAAGCGACTCAAAAGTGGACTCTCTCGAGAGTGCATGAGCATGTTCAAGAAAGTTTTCAAAAGCGACAACACTTGTTGTCTGCTATCTACTGTCTGTACCATGTGCTGCCCCGTCCTGTTCCTGCCTGCTCCCTCCTCCCTGCTGCCTGCTGCGTGTACTGCTTCTTCAGAACCCTGCATCAGGCGTAGCCGAAGCAGTGGCAGGCATGCCGAAGCACAACGGAGCCAATCTGCCAGTGGAGGTTGGGGGGACCCCCCTCCCTCGGTGTTCTCCTGGTCTCTGCAGAACCCCGCATCAGGCACAGCAGAAGCAGTGGCAGATATGCCGAAGCACAACGGAGCTGATCTGGTGGTGGAGGTTGGGTTGGGAGATCCCTGTGGGTGTTATGTTAACCTCAACAGCTGCTTCCCTTGCGCCATCCATCCTTCCCCCAGTTGCTGCCTGCAACCCTCTCTGTTGTGTGCAGAACCCCGCATCAGGCACAGCAGAAGCAGTGGGAGTACGACGAAGCACAACGTAGCTGATTTGCTGGTGGAGGTTGGGGAAACCCTGTGGGCTCCTCTCCTCTCTCCTCTTGCTTGATCCCACCATCCGCCCTTCTCCCACCCTGCTCTCTCCAGAACCCCACATCAGGCACAGCAGAAGCGGTGGCAGATATGCCCAAGCACGATGGAGCCAATCTGCTGGTGGAGGTGGGGGAACCCCTCTGGGTGTTCCGTTTACCTCAACAGCTGCACCCCGCCCCCTGTTTTCTGCCCTACAGAACCCCACATCAGGCACAGCAGAAGCAGTGGCAGATATGCCCAAGCACGAAGGAACCGATTTGCTGGTGGAGGTGGGGGGACCCCTCTGGGTGTTTGGGAATGCGAGCTATGCGTTCATCCCAGGCAGCTCACACCACGTGGCTGTCATCTGCCAGTGAGTAATCATAATTCACTTTAGGGTGCACCAACAGAGGATTGAAGTTTTCCTGTGGGTGTTTGGGAATGCGAGCTACGCGTTTATCGCTGGCAGCTCGCACCACATCGCTGTCACGTGAAAAAACACTTCTTTTTTCACGTTTATCGCTGGCAGCTCGCACCACATCGCTGTCACGTGAAAAAACACTTCTTTTTTCACGTTTATCGCTGGCAGCTCGCACCACATCGCTGTCATCTGCCAGTGAGTTGATTTGTGAGGTAACCAATAAACCTGATTCTTATTTTTGAGCGTGTTTTTTTTAGAATTCTCAAAAAACACACGCTACTACGAGCAACTCTTGTCAACCCACTCACTCAGTCTCACTCGCTCACTTCCACACCTCCTGTCGCCCTCCCCCTTTTTCTCAGAGTGAAGGGCCAGTCTCAGCTGGGGATCATCGACACTCACACTCGCACCTTCACACTCGCACCTTCACACTCGCACCTTCACACTCGCACCTTCACGCTCACTCATTCACACTCACCCTTTTACTTCCATACCTCCTGGCGCCCTCCCCTTTTCTCTCAGAGTGAAGGGCCAGTCTCAGCTGGGGATCATCGACACTCACACTCGCTCCTTCACACTCACTCCTCCCACCCACCCTCCTCTCACTCAGATGTCGCACCTGGTATGTGGTTACCACTCACTCACTCCCACACTCTCGACTTCATGAGCTCATCCCCCTATCGTCCCTGCTGGTCTGGCTTTATAAGCCAGCCTTTTCTGTTTCATAGCTCTAGCGTCCCCAGAGTGTTTCTTTTGACAACCTAGCTACGTTGGGAGGTGACTTTTGAGTCGACTCAAAAGTCACCTCCAGGTTCCCCAGAGTGTTTCGTTTGACAACCCAGCTACGTTGGGCACAACAGGCATTACCACTGCACTACACTCATATGCATCCCATACTCATATGGATATTACCCAACTCATGATGCCATCATATTGCAACAACGGCATTACTACACTCACATCACATCACAACTTCGCATCCACACGTTTTTATGAGCAGGTGGCAGGCAAGGATCGTCTTTTTGTGTGTGCTGGCGGCCCCTCCACCCCCCTCTCGTTTTTCGAGGTACTCTCTAATGCGGCTGCATCTGGTGCTTCGAAGTGGTTCACTGTGGTTCCGTGTGGTTCAATGTGGTTCAGTGTGGTTCAGTGTGGTTCAGTGTGGTTCTCTGTGGTACGTTCTGGTGTGGTGCCTTCTTGCATTCGTCCATGTTTCGATTGTATTTCAGCATGTGGCCTCACCGCAAGTCACCCACACACCCCACTCTCCTCCACCCCCATCCCTTGTGCTTGTTGCCCGTCCTACTCCCCCAGCTGAAACCCTCCCCAGATATGACCTCCCTCCAAGTCATTCACCCGGCCATCCGCCCGTCAACAACCATCGACACCGCGTCCCTCGCCCCGTTCCTCTCCTCGCCTCAATGGGTCGAATTCCCCACCACCACCCCTGCACAAGGGGAGCAGTCCGTTGCATCCTCAACTGCTGATGCCCCACACACCGCGCCACACTCCTCCGCACCCCCACGCACCGCACACGCGCTCTTCTACCCACCTGCCAACAGCGAGTACCAAGGGCCGCAGGGGGCCCTCCCTCCGCTGCTGCTGAAGTGCCACGGGGGCCCCACGGGGTGCCTTGATTCCGCCCTGCGCCTGCCGCTGCAGTTCTGGACGTCCAGAGGCTTTGCTGTTGTGGATGTCAACTATGGGGGCAGTACTGGTAAGTGGGGTTGAAATGCTTCGATGTGTGTGGTGGGGACAGCGCTGGTGGCTGTTCTGTTCTTAGGCAGTCCCAGAAAGAACCCGTTCCGTTCCGATCCAAGGGCTGCAAGGGGCGCTGCACCCCCCTCTGCTGGTGAAGTGCCACGGGGGCCCCACGGGGTGCCTTGACTCCGCCCTGCGCCTGCCCCTGCAGTTCTGGACGTCCAGAGGCTTTGCTGTCGTGGATGTGAACTATGGGGGCAGCACGGGTGAGTGAGTGGTGCGATGGGGGGTGGGGGGAGGGACAGCATGGGTGGTTATGCTTAGGAATTGCCGTTCACCTGCATTTCTGGACTTCCAGAGGCTTTGCTGTCGTTGATGTGAATAATGGGGGCAGCACGGGTGAGTGGGAGGGAGGTGGCAGGAAGAAGCACTACTGGTGGGGAGGAAAGGTGGATGTGAATAATGGGGGCAGCTCTCAACGTCTAGGGGCTTTTCTATCGTGGAGTCATGGACATTAAGAATGGAAGCAGCACGGGTGTAGGGTTTAGGGTGTAGGGTTGTGCTGTATTAGTTACAAGTTTCAAGGTTAACTCCGCACCGCACCCACATCACCTGCAGTCTTGGACATCGCTTTACTATACTGTTTTGGATATTAAATATGGGGGCAGCACGGGTGAGTAAGTGGGATGGGGATGGCACGGGTAAATTGGAAGTGCTGGTGGTTATGTAGCCTTAGATGTGAGTGACATCCTCTGCTGTGTCACACGCAGTTCAGGCCATCAAAGGGCTTTGCAATGACATGCCATTCCATTAACACAAACTCATTGCTCGCTGAACCACATCCGCTGACCATGGGATTTCCATTAACTTACTACATGGTTAGCAGATGCGGATCTGTCGAAGTAGAACAGGTGGGCTGTTTAGGACAGAGAAACAAACCCCAAGGGATTTTCATTAACTTATTCCACGGTTAGCAGATGCGGATCCAAGCTACACTGATGAAGGCTGAGCGGGTATGTTCCCCGCGAGCCAAACCAAAACTGGTTTGTACGGTTTTTGAGTCAACTCAAAAGCAGCCGAAACTGGTTTGTGCTGTAAGGTTCTACTTTAGTGGAAGGGTTTGACGAGTTCTACTGAGCAACTTTCTGGGAAGAATTTCAGTTTTGATTCTATTGTTGCTTTAAGCGTTTTCCAATCTTCAGAATTGCAGCTCTTCCACTCTGAGCGAAGACCCCATCCGCCGCTGACCATGGGATTTCCATTAACTTAGACCATGGTTAGCAGATGTGGTTCTTCAAGAAATATGCTTGTTCTCTCACATCGCCATGCCAAGCCTTGCCATGCCAGCTCATGCTACACACACCAGAGTACGACCATGGGTATCGGGAGCGACTGCATGTGCAGTGGGGGGTGGTGAGCTTCAAGTCGGATGATGAATCATGTCTCCGCATGCCATGCCACACCATCCCACACCACTACCAGGGTACGGCCATGAGTACAGGGAGCGGCTACATGGGCAGTGGGGAGTGGTGGACGTTGATATGCCATGCCATCCCATGCCATGCCATGCCATCCCATCCCATCCCATCCCATCCCGTCCCATCCCATCCCATCCCACCCCACCCCATCCCATCCCATCCCATCCCATCCCATCCCATCCCATCCCATCCCATCCCATCCCATCCCATCCCATCCCATCCCATCCCATCCCATCCCATCCCATCCCACCCCATCCCATCCCATCCCATCCCATCCCATCCCATCCCATCCCATCCCATCCCATCCCATCCCATCCCATCCCATCCCATCCCATCCCATCCCATCCCATCCCACCCCACCCCATCCCACCCCATCCCATCCCATCCCATCCCATCCCATCCCATCCCATCCCATCCCACCCCATCCCATCCCATCCCATCCCATCCCATGCCATGCCCTGCCTTGCCCTGCCTTGCCCTGCCTTGCCCTGCCTTGCCCTGCCTTGCCCTGCCTTGCCCTGCCTTGCCCTGCCTTGCCCTGCTTTGCCCTGCCTTGCCCTGCCTTGCCCTGCCCTTCCATACCATCACATACCATACCATGCTGTGCCCTACACACCAGGGTACGGCCGGGAGTACAGGGAGCGGCTGCATGGGCAGTGGGGAGTGGTGGACGTTGACGACGCTTGCTGCTGTGTCGAATACCTGGTAATTGCTTAATTCTGTGCCTGGTTGCTTAACAATATAAACCGCTCTTGCTGTGGAATCAACTTGTTTATTTTCGAATATGTAGTTCTATGTGCTTTATGAGTCGCTAGCACCATACCTGCAAGGGCTGTTCGTTTCCCCCTGCCAACCTACCCTACCCCTCACCCTGCTACCTGCCTACTACTCCGAATTCTGCCCCCTTCTCCCGGCTTCCTTCTTCCTCCCAGGTGCGTGCAGGGCTGGTAGATGGCAGCAGGGTGGCCATCGACGGGTCATCAGCAGGAGGCTTGACTACCCTCTCTGCTTTGACACGCCTCAACTGCACCCTGCCTGCCCACCCACTCCCATCTACCTCCAAACGCCCTACACCCTCGCCCTGCCTACCTTACATTCTCCCCCCAGGTGCGTTTTCTAGCGCCTCAAAATCCGCGAGCAGTGAGGTGCATTTTGAGGCACCCTCGCCCTGCCTCCCTTATATTCTCCCCCCAGGTGCGTTTTCTAGCGCCTCAAAATCCGCGAGCAGTGAGGTGCATTTTGAGGCACCCTCGCCCTGCCTCCCTTACATTCTCCCCCCAGGTGCGTGCAGGGAACTAAGGTGGCCATAGATGGGTCGTCAGAAGGATTTACCACCCTCTCTGCTTTGACCCCATCTGCCTACTTACTCCTCTCTGCCCATCCCCCCCCTCTCCCCTTTCTCCCCAGGTGCGTGCAGGACTGGTAGATGGCAGCAGGGTGGCTATCGACGGATCATCAGCAGGAGGCTTTACTACCCTCTCAGCTCTCACCTTCCGCTCTACCTTCAAGGCCGGATGCTCCTTGTACGGGGTAAGAACTGCTTTTATCAGATCTCTCTCACTCATCATGCTGGTGAAGCATCACCACCCTCTTAACTCTCACCTTCCGCTCTACCTTCAAAGCTGGATGCTCGCTCCCTGTACGGGGTAGGGCATGGCCCTCTCTGGCACAGTTTTTGCAGTCCTTTTAGATTTTTTCTGTTATTCTTGCATTTACTACCTTTGTTGTTCCCTCTCCTGTTTATCTCGAGGCTCTGGCCAAAGTGATTGGCACTTAAGTGATTTTCTTATTCTTACTGCTGTTACTCAGTGCTTGTCCTCCCTTCTATTGAGCAGATCAGGGATCTCGAGGTTCTAACTCAGATGATGCATAAGTTTGAAAAGCGAAGTGGCTTTTGAGTCACGTTTGAAAATCCTCAAAGTTGAGTCCGAATCAAAACAATCCCTGCCTGCCCCCCCCTGTGTTGAGCAGATCGGGGATCTCGAGGCTCTGGCTCAAGTAGTTGGCACTTAATGGTTCTTTTTATCCTTGATACTGTTACTCATTGCTCGTTCTCCCTTCTGGGGTCTCGAGGCATTTGCTCAGATGATGCTCAAGTTTGGAAACGAAGATGACTTTGAGTCGACTCAAACAACACTCCCTGCCTGCTCCTTCCTGTTGGTCAGATTGGAGATCTCGAGGCTGTGGCTCAGATGATGCACAAAAAACATTGGCCAATTGGCACTTCATGTACAATTATCATCATCCAACCGCTGCTCCCCCCTGTTGAGCAGATTGGAGATCTCGAGGCTCTAGCTCAAATGATGCACAAGTTTGAAATGCATTACACCGATACACTTGTTGGTGAGTCTTTTTTTTTTTTTTTTTTTTTTTTTTTTTTTTTTTTTTTTTTTTTTTTTTTTTTTTTTTTTTTTTTTTTTTTTCCGCAAGATCTCCATTCACCTTTTTTGCATGTCTCCTGCCAGTGCACTTCTATTTTATCTTTTCCGCCGCATATGAGCTCTAATGTACTGTCTATGTTTTTATTATGACATGTTAAAGGGTTTACCCTATCCCTTAAATCTTGACTATATGCTTTTATTGCCAAATATTTCCTGATTATTTAAATAAGGCAAAATTGTGTTGTATAATTGGAAAGGAAAATATTGTAAAAAGTGGGGCGCTCGTGTCTTTAATCCCCCGGCAATTATTCATGAATAATCTTTTGCGAATGCACTTCTTGAAGGGTAAGTACGCCTCAAAAGTTGAAACTTGTCTGCTTCTCTCCCCTCTTTCTTCCAAATCCCCAGCACCATACAACACTCCTGAGGGAAAGCAGCTGTACAAGGAACGCTCCCCAATCAACCACGTCGACAAGCTTGCATGCCCGTTGCTCCTGTTGCAGGGGCTCAAAGACCAGGCAAGTGAGAGTGTTTAAACATTGTTGTCCACCCCAGCACTCTCCCCAGCACCATACGACACTCCCAAGGGAAAGCAGCTGTACAAGGAGCGATCACCAATCAACCACGTGGACAAGCTCGCATGCCCGTTGCTGCTGCTGCAGGGACTTAAGGATCAGGTACTGTGACAATTTTGGGACTTTGTCAGAAAGTTGGTCTTACAAGTAAGTTGTTTGCAAGTAAGGCAGCAGTACAGGACCGTTTCCCAATCAACCACGTGGACAAGCTCGCATGCCCCTTGCTGCTGCTGCAGGGGCTTAAGGACCAGGTACACTGAGAGTTCTATATAGAGAGTCGTATTCGAGGAAAGCAGCTATACAAGGAACGCTCCCCGATCAACCATGTGGACAAGCTTGCATGCCCCTTGCTGCTGCTGCAGGGGCTCAAAGACCAGGTATGGTGAGAGTGTTTAAAGATTGTTGTCCACTCTCCCCAGCACCGTACGACACTCCCAAGGGGAAGCAACTGTACAGGGATCCTTTCCCAATCAACCATGTGGACAAGCTCGCATGCCCGTTGCTGCTGCTACTGCAGGGACTTCAAGACCAGGTACGGTGAGAAGGCTATACTAGCAATTTGTATACCAGTAAGGCAGCTGTACAAGGATTGTACAGTGATGCATGCTGCAGTGAAGGCCAAGGGGCTGCCTGTCGCAGTGATGTCATTTTGTTATTTACACCTCTCTCCCTGCTTCCTTTGCTGCCTGCCCTGCCTCCCGTTCTCCCCTTTAGGTTGTGAGTCCTGACCAGGCCCGTGCCATGCACGCTGCAGTGAAGGCCAAGGGGCTGCCAGTGGCTATCATTGAGTTTCCAGATGAGGACCACGGCTTCAGAAATGTGAGTATGGTGAAGCCATAAGAGTACAGTGATTGCGTGGGGAGCTGTGATTGTAATGCAAGTGTGGCTTAGGTTAGGCCATGCTTGCAGTAGTGAAGGCCAAGGGGCTGCCAGTGGCTATCGTGGAGTTTCCAGATGAAGACCACGGCTTTAGAAATGTGAGTATGGTGAAGCCATGTGAGTATAGTGGGCATGGCTTAAGGAATGTGGGTTCATATGATAGTAATGTGAGCATAGCTTCCAAATCCAAGGGCTAGTACGTTGCCTTCAGCAATATGACATGGTGCGGAAGAAGTGAGATGTTAAGGCCCGTATCTGTACAGTACTTTCCAAGATTTATCCTTATGTGGCTACATGGTAACGTGGCAGGCGGACAACATCAAGGCAGCACTGGAGATGGAGCATGAGTTCTTCTGCCATGTCCACTGAATCAGCTTCATTGTCATCTTTTGCATACACTCACCATGTCCCTATGTGGTTACATGGTAACGTGGCAGGCGGACAACATCAAGGCAGCACTGGAGATGGAGCATGAGTTCTTCTGCCGTGGCTTGCTCAATCAGCGGCATTGTGATCGATCGCAATTACTCACCATGTCCTCCTTCCATACGTGGTTACATGGTAACCTTGCAGGCGGACAACATCAAGGCAGCACTGGAGATGGAGCTGGAGTTCTTCTGCCGTGTCCTGCTCAATCTGCCTTCTTCATCTGACAAACAGAGGCTGACGATTGACAATTTTGATCAGGAAATATAGGTAAACTGCCTCAATCCGTACCGGCCTTGAAAAACATTACAGCCAGATTGGATGTACCAAAGGTATGTAGCCGTGACCGTGAGCGGTGGTGCGCTTTTTTCGCTTCTGCACTTGGTGGTGTAACATGAGGATCAATACTGTAGGCATATCCAGTGTAACCAATGCATGCTAATTGCAAACTCTAGGGCACCTAACTAGATCTCGTGACCATAGCAGCAACAGCTATTCACACAAGAATAATAATGACACCATTTATACAAAGAATGTACCGTAAACGTATAGCAACCAGCTTTGTCAAGAGTCTTTCTTTGACTCAGCGTTCCCATTCACTGCACTTCCTTCACCGTTTGCCAAAATGGGCTCGGCTTCCTGCAAGGAAGGCAGCGATACAGGGGTGTGTGAAGAATAGCTAACAAAAACAAACAAAAACAAACAAAAACAATTGCAAGAGGAGGAAAACAGATGCGCTGGGTGCGGCAGCTGGTGCGAGATGGATAGACAAACGAAGGAAGCTTTGGCTATTTGAAAAAAGAAGGAACAACTAGACGCTAGGGAGGCGGGACTGCGTGACATAAGGCATTTGCGGGAGGGGAGGGAGGGGGGGAAGGGCGGGGGACTGAATTGGGAGAACGAGGAAAGGGAAGGGGAGGAAAGGGGAGAAGACGATTGGAGGTGGAGGGGGGGGAGTGGGGGCAGGAGGACAAACGAGGTATGTCAACAGAGCCATGAAAAGAAGCATTCTTACTGGTAGCGGTTTTCTCGCTCCTGGCTTGTACGGACAGGAAGGACCGTCCCGAAGCGGCGGATTGTACTCTCGGCCAATCAAACGGAAGAACCGCACCTGCCGCGACACGGCGACAGTATCACGAGGACGACATGGCGACAAAGGGACGGATCCGGAGAGGTACAGTGCGTCTAACTAATGAATTCCGTAAAGATTGACGTATAACGATGTCGAGAGCTGAAATAAAGAAGGAGAAGTGAACCAAACCCAGCGGGAAAATAGAGAGCTGTCTAAGAGAAGTTCGGTGATGTAAGCAAGGCGACTTACAAGTAGTTTGTCCCACAAAAGAGGGAGGATGTTGACTAGAGGCAGTAGGAAGAGAGGAAGAAGACAGAAAACGCAAACCTGCAGCAACGAGGCCAAAAGAGACAAGAGGCATGTAACAGCTTTCAATCAAGCTGGAACGACCGAAGCGCGAGAAACATATTCTTTTTTCGTCAGCCGAGCACGTACCATGATTGCGGCTCCTAGAGAACAACTAGCTTAGCAAGGCCCTAGATTATAACAATTGGAGATCAACGGCCTTGGAGCGTAAACTGTGTCGTAAGAAGGTAGCGTAGGGTCCAGCTAGAATGTTGAAGGCAAAGAACTGTGATCAGTTTGGATGTGGGCCTACAAGCCAAGCCACACAGCACTGGGTTTTCTTTTTAGGGCGTGCTTTACATCAGGTTCAAAGGAGAGTCAGGTTGGGTTCCGTTCGAGTGGTACTACAGCTTTTTGCAACACCGTTCATTCCATATTTGTTACATCCAGTGGAACCATGGTTCGCTTTCCGGCTCGAACTCAAGCATCTAGAACACTCCCACACTGTCGTGTCGGCTGCGAACGAACCTGCCCGACGCTTCGCCTGTCAGATGGTTCGATAGCATGTCATCCGTTTCGACAATTACATTTTTCTTTCTCAATCTCACAACCTTTTGCATGAATGGATCACAATAGAACCATCATAGTTTCAAGACAAATATTGTACCGTGACATAATTTTCTAGACTCCAAATAACATCCCAGTTTAACTCTAGGTTTTGCGCCTAGTGATTTTAGATTTTGTATCCTGCACGAAACGCATCTCACTGCGACGCGTATGCCAAATCCGTCGATAGATCCTCCCGCAACATACCCCTAGCGTCTCTAGATACTTAAGACCAACAACAATTGACAGAACCGGGTCAACCGCTGCCTCTCACACGCGCATACTCTTAGTCTTCTCCCCTTCCTGCTTCTGGTCTCACACGCGAACACTCGCTAGGGTTGAGTTCGTTTGAGATGGACGAATTTGAGAATTTAATTCTGAGCTTTTCAGACGCGATCAAGTCCAAATGGAAAGAGGTTACCGACGGCCCTCCGATCACCGACCAGATCCAGGCGTTTATCCACGCCGTTGATTGGACGGTGAGACCTTCTTCCCCACATGGATATTGTCATATAATTTTAAAGCGCCGGATGGTTGGAATTCTCAGTCACGCGTAGCATGCATGCAGGGTTCTCGTTTCTTGTCTAGGGATCTCTCTCCTAGAATTCTCGCGACCAGTACGAGCACCCCCCAGGCCCCCCGACCCCGTCCGCACTTGCATTTAACTCTTTTCTGTCTAGGCGATCTGTTGCTTGGAATTCTCACGGCTGTCGTTCCGATTTTTCTTCTGTTCGCGCGGCTCGGTGACGAATCGCAGGAGCCATGGATCATCGGGCTGCTGTCGTTCCACGCCGCGTTGCTTCTCATGGTGCTCCTCACTCGCCGATGGCAGAACTTTCAGTTCATCGTCTTCGCCTTCTGCGGTAAGTGCACGTGCCGTTTACAGTGATTGCATGGGCATGCCGTGAGTGCACACAGTTAGCGGTGATTGCACTTGCACATGCAGAACGGATTCATCTCCTGACCGTGCTCCTCACTCGCCGATGGCAGAACTTTCAGTTCGTCGTCTTCGCCTTCTGCGGTGAGTGCACGTGTCTTCTGCGGTGAGTGCGCGTGTCTTGTGCGGTGAGTGCACGTGCCTTGAGCCGTGAGTGCACGTGGTAATTGCACGTGGCCAGGTGTGTGCGCGTGTCAGGTGAGTGCACGTGCCTGTTGCGGTGAGTCCACGTGTCGTTTGAGAGCACGTGCTCTTATAGAATGGATCCCTCCATCTGATTGTCCCCCTCACACACTCAGAAATCGCTGAACTTTCACCTCTCACCATTCGCCGTGTTTGCAGTGAGTGCGTTCAAGGAGTGTCGAAGATTGATTGAGAGTGAATTTATAGTATTGTTTATCAACACTATCACTTTTCCCCTGTTTGCACCGTCCTAAACCCATTCAAACCAGCTTGTGGTCGCGGTTCTGTTTGACTTAGCTTTTCTACACCTTGATCCGTTCCAATGCTTCCCTCTCTGTTCGCCCGCTCACAAACTCCCTCCATTCCTCCATCGTCCTCCAACCCACCCATTTGCAACCCACCCAACCTACCCAATTGCAAGCTACCCAACACAACCATCTGCACCCGTCTTAACCCACCCATTGCAACCCACACATGTGCAAGGTTTTGGGTACAGGTTTTAAGGATAGAAAATATGGCATTTTGGTTAACGCAACACAAACCCACCCGTCCCACTTTGACAACCCCAGCAAGCATTCTGGTACTTGGCTGAGCTTGTAACTGCATTCTCCACCCCAGGCTCTTCTTGTAACTCCTCCCGCGTACTACTCGTTGTTCCGTACATACATGTAGCATGCTTTATACAAGTTTTGAGACGTCTTAAAATACTTAGCGCAAATATTTGGTTCCTCACATATGTGCATACAACTCTTTGCACCTAGATTTCTGGCGGACCCTCCTCCTACCGTTCTCGCTCCCGCCTCCCCCTCCACCCCGTCCCTTCCCCCTCCTGTCTCCCTCTCATGCGATACTGCAGCCATATTGATGTGACTAGAACGCAAACTGCACATTCCCCCCCCCCCCCCCTCCCCCCAGCTCCCCCCCAAACCCTCCCCTCCCCTCTCTCTTTCTCCCCTCTGCCGCTCCCCCCAACCCCTTCCATGAAGTCGTTCGGCTGTACTGGTGTATCTAGCAGGGCACATAAATGAATACGCTGCCCTCGCGTTGATTGAAATCGTTCTCCCCTTGCCGGTCCGCTCCCATGCTCTCCCCCATCCAATCATGCAGCCATACTGGTGTATCTGGCGGAGCACAGAAATGCATTCCTGTGCTTCCTCCTCTCCTTCTTACCCCCGCTTACTCCCCCTTTCCCTGCCTTCCTGCCCCGTTTCCCCCAACCCATTCCACAACCATGCAGCCATACTGGTGTATTTAGCAGAGCACATAAACGCGTACGCGGCGCATCACTGGAAGTTGTTTTCGCGCCAGAACTACTTTGACCAACACGGGCTCTTCGTCTCGGTGCTCTTCTCAGGCCCCATACTTGTCATCGGGATTGTCATTCTGGTGAGCAGGAACTAGGTGTTGGTAACTGCTAGTTGTCAGGTTGACCCAAATCAGCACTTTTCGGGCCCCATACTCGTCATCGGGATTGTCATTCTGTGAGAAAATACCAAGTGCTGGGCACAGCTCGTTGTCAGGTTGTTGACCCACCCAAGTTAGCATTCTCAGGCGTAAAACTGGTCGTTGGGATAGTTGTTCTGGTATGCTCTTCTTCCCGTCATACCCCTCCCATTTCAGTGTAACTTTTGAAATTTCTCAAAAGGCACACCAACAATACTGGTCGTTGGGATGGTTGTTCTGGTATGCTCTTCTCTCCATCATACCCCTCCCATTTCTCGCTCTTCTATATCTATCAGGCGAAGTTGCATTTGATAATCAGTATGGTTGAATTGATGGTGAAGTGGAAGAAAGCAGATGCACTTGACCTGCTCCTCCTCCCATCATAGCCCATGCTGCACTCTCCTTGTATGTACCATGTGCAGCCCTGCTCCTCCTTCCGTCCTACTCCCCTCTCTCATGCTGCGGTTTGCATCTATATGTGCATGTTCAGGTGCAACTAATGATCAGTACGGTTGAACTGATGGTGAAGTGGAAGAAGGCAGAGCTCAAGCACAGGGCGAGAAAGGCAGCACAGCAGGAGAGTAGAAAAAAAGAGTAGATGCAGTGCGGTACCACATGGTGACCACGGTATGTACGGTACATCCTTGGGAGTTCTGAGTTGCAAGTCTTGGAGTGGAGCTTTTTTCCCAAAGAAAAAGATTTCCAGCAACAAGAGAGCTTTGATGAAAATTTTGAGATCCGCCAAGGTTCAAATACCGTACCTCTGCCATCCGCATGGGCGAAGGAGCTGAGTATCATATCAATATGATCCTATCAGACATGAAATAGATCAAGCAGGTGAATTGTGTCTACAGTTTCCCGTGTGGTGCCACAGGGACCTTTTTCATTCTCAAAACGATGGACAAAGCAATACGTATCATTCCCTGTGCAGCATCTCAGAAATCGAGGAATGCCACATAGTCTTTGGAGAGTAATCTCAACGTTGGTATGTCATTACGTTACCAAACGCTACACTACCAAAAGCCAATACGCGTCGCAATGTAGCGGAGCAGGTGATATGAAAACACTCAAACCTGTGCCACTCCGTCCACCTCCTGAAGGATAAAATACTTGCCCCGGAAAAGCTTCCCACCCTTGATCTTCACCTTGGACTTATCCACCTTGCGACCGTTCACATCCTTCAGATCTTTCGCGGACTTGATGTCGCTCTCCTCGTACAGTCCGTCGAGAATGTTCGCGCGAATCAAGCTCTTGTAGGAGCGAACATCGCCGGGGTTCACGCTCGGCTTCATCATGGAGTATAGCGCGTCAGGGACCGCGGAAGCGATGGCGACGTCTTCAGGCAACAGGACGGTCTTGCCGTCGGCTTTGTCGAGGAAATCGTCCGTTGGGTTCCAGTCGGTCTCTGAATCACACGAAAACGGATTTGCGAAATGTCTAGGCTTAACAAAAGCAAGATATTTCTGAAACAAAGACTTGGAATAAGTAAATCGACGGATGAAAGGTTGAATCGCACACTCGCACGCACACGCGCGCGCGCGCATGCATACACGCAGATCGCTTACCCATCTGAGGGATGATGTTATCGAGGAAAGTGACGCTGGCACGGTGTCGGCCGTTCAGTTTGGGGTCATTGAGCGCGTCTCGGGCCTTCTTCACCTCCGCGATGAAATCCCCCTTGGTGGGGCGCGCCGCAGCAGGCGCGAGGAGCAGCGCGAGAGTGCAGACGGCGAGAACGGTAATCTGGCACGACGACGCCATGGCGTCCGCGACTTGCGGCAGCTTGAGGACCGGGTTTGTAAAAAATGGATCGCTGGCAGACGCAGAACAAACTGGAAGATAGGCTTGTGCTAGTCAACAACACATAAGTGTTGAGTTGAGTGGTTTGAGTGACACACCTTGTCCTGTCCCTGCTGGAACGCCTCTTCATGGGTCACATCACAGCAGGGGGGGGGTTCTGTCTGTGACGTGACCGTAACCACACCCCCTGAAAAAAGTTAATAGTAGTTTCCCTGGAACAATATGCTCGCCAAGGTTAGCGTCGGGAAGCAAGAGCTAAAAATGACGGATCTATACCGCCTCACTCACTCGGTCAGCCAAAGACACTCACTCAGTCACACACCGTTGAATGGCAGTTAGATTTCCTGAAAGTTGAACCTGAGAGTTTTGGTGCAATTGGGTTACGATTCTGGGAAGCCTTTGATATTGTTTTTCATGTGTACACCACCTGGTCAAGGGTATCTTGGTTGGAGATATTCAGTGCGTTTTGAATATCGTTGACCGTCACTTCTTTCCGCTGGCCTGCCAGTCACTGTTCGCCTTCCCCGGCCTCCACCAGCCGTTCCCAAGCCACACATTTCGCCCCAGAAGCATCTCTTCGCCACACCCGACCTGGGCCTGCAGAGCATGCGTGGAGCAGTGAACGTGCAACCTCCTTGCTCCGATTTTCACTTCCCATATGGCCTGGAACATCATTCTCGTACAAACGAATCCTTTCCGACAGGGCAGTTGGTAAGTGCTTGCAAACTTCAGCGTTCTTCACATCAGACCCGAAAGAAAAATGTTACATTGAAGTTTGGTAAGTCACTTTCCGACAGAGCAGTTGGTAAGTGCTTTCGCAAACTAGATCTAGTTTTCCAAGGGGGAGATCCTTTGTGTGCCCAGTTTGTTGTCTGGAAATCATGAGCTCACCTTTCCCTCCCATCCCACAAACCTTTTCCCACAGCCCCAATTCCCTACGGCATTGAGCAACGCCAAAAACCAACAACCGACCACTTCGAGGCTAGCGAGGTTCGGCCCAAACGGAGCCTTCGGGTATCGTATGCCCTCTCACTTTCCCCCGTACCTGCCAAATGCTCGCTTGACCCCCACCTGCAGCTTCCCGAACCTATCCCTACAACCTAGCAGCCACGTCAGGCAGCCGAAACCACTTACCAGATTTGTTCACTTGTGTCTCAGGAACTTACGTGGCAGGCTGGCAGAGGCGGCAGGAATCCTTTGTAGTTTGAGCCCTGTACCCTACCCTAACTGCGTTATACGGATAAGCGTGGAAGAGACACCGATACTCGATTGCTAAAGTTACGCTTTCTGCTCTTTGGTTGCTTTCTACTGCAACACTCACTTACGGTATCAAATTACAATTGCTAACAACTCTTGACTGTCGGGTGGAATATGCAACATCATACTGCCACAAGAACATAAACCGTTGATTTCAGATAATCATACTTCACGTATGGATGCTCTTACAGAGGGCCATGTGGGCCACCATGCCACAGATTGATTTCGCAAGGGTGCACTAAGCACTGTGCTTATAATGCTACAATTGGGCAATCTTCCATACATTTACCATTGGGACTATGGTGTGGTGGAAATCCTGAAGTTTCAAACGCCTTGCGAACTACCCTGTCGTCCATGTCATTCTTCCACCACTCCCCACCACTCTCCTCACGACTCTCCATCATCGCTCCAGCTGTTCCTCCCTCCTCGCCTGCTCGCCTCCTCATCAACCCCCAGCACCACCCCCCCCCCCCCCCCCTGCCCAAACCCAATACCCAGGAACGCCCCTGTCTGCCCCACCACCCACTGCTGCTCTATCGGTTTTCTGGTCATCTCAAACTTCGAGACGTCTCAAAACACCACCCCTAACCACTCCCAACACCTCCTCACCATTCCCCATCGTCACTCTAAATGTTCCTCCCTCCCCGCCTGCTCGCCTCCTCATCAACACCCAGCACTCCCCCAAACCCAATACCCAGGAACTCCCTTGTCTGGCCCACCACCCACTGCTGCTCCACCGGCTTTCAATCCATCTCACAACACCACCACTAACCACTTCCCACCACTCCTCACCACTCCTCGTCGTCGCTCCACCTGTTCCTCCCTCCTCGTCTGCTCGCCTCCTCATCCACCCCCAGCACCCCCCCGAACCCAATACCCAGAAACTCCCCTATCTGCCCCATCACCCACTGCTGCTCCACCGGCTTTAATCCCCCTCCGAATCGGTGCTCCTTCACGCCTTCCGCCAGCTGGCACACCGCCATTGGCTCGCCGTTTTGGAACTGGGCGGCAGAAGAGAGGGAAGCAGGGGAAGGGGGTGGTGTGGGTGGAGTTGTGTATTTACTTGTATGTAACACGATGAAGGAAATCATCTTGAGCCCCTCATGTGCGGCTGTCATTGAATTTGAATGGTGTGTGTGTGTGTGTGTGTGTGTGTGTGCGCGCGCGCGCGAGCGTGTGGTGTGTGTGTGTGTGTGTGTGTGTGTTTCTTCTTTTTTCTTTCTTTCTTTCTTTCTTTCTTTCTTTCTTTCTTTCTTTCTTTCTTACTTTCTTTCTTTCTTTTTTTTCAAATCCTTGTTAATACTGCGTCAAAGAATGCATTGCATCTGCCCCTCATGCACGCTGTGATGACTGAAAGGTGAGTGGTAGTAGGAGGGGTGTGAGTGGTGGTTGAGGGGGTAGTATACAAGGGAGTGATGAAAAGAGAAATGGGTGGGGCTTGTGAAGGTGTTGTGAGAGGAAGTGATACTAAACTCCCCTCCCTGCCCTCCCTGCCCTCCCTGCCCTCCCTGCCCTCCCTGCCCTCCCTGCCCTCCCTGCCCTCCCTGCCCTCCCTGCCCTCCCTGCCCTCCCTGCCCTCCCTGCCCTCCCTGCCCTCCCTGCCCTCCCTGCCCTCCCTGCCCTCCCTGCCCTCCCTGCCCTCCCTGCCCTCCCTGCCCTCCCTGCCCTCCCTGCCCTCCCTGCCCTCCCTGCCCTCCCTGCCCTCCCAAGAGCCCATTCTCTCCCTCTACCAGCACTCACTCACCCCCGAAAGTCACTCACACACAGACTCACCCCCCCAACCACCACTGCAGCACGTGAAATGTCCGCACATTGGCCTCTCTCCGTGTGACTCCACAGGTCCCCCACCCGCCACGTGATGCTCAATTCCCCGCACTCCCTCCCTCCCAACATGCCCACTCACCCCCTACAGCCACTCACCCACTAGCACCACTCACCCCCTCAACCACCACAGCAGCACGTGAGGTGTCGGCACATCTGCCCCTCTCAGTGTGACTCCAAAGGTCCCCCACCCGCCATGTGATGTTGAAGTCCCCTCCCTGCCCTCCCAAGATGCCCACTCACTTCCCTACTTCCACTCACACACAGACTCACCCCTTCAACCACCACAGCAGCACGTGAGGTGTCGGCGCATCTGCCCCTCTCTGTGTGGCTCCAGAGGTCGCCCACCCGCCACGTGATGCTGAACTCGCCGTCTCCCTGGCGGTCAAATACTAGATCCACTGAGACAGCCACTGTTGACACCACCTTCTTGGCTAGACTGGTGGGGAGTGAGAGAAGCGAGGAAGGGAGAAAATAGAGTGTGGAAGAGAGAAAGAGCTGGTAGCCCCCCTGCGTGCCCTCCCCCCTGGCGGTCAAACAGTAGATCCACTGATACTGCTACTGTCGACAGCACCTTCTTGGCCAGACTGGGGGGAAGAGCAGCAGATGGTGAAGGCACAGAGAGGGAGTGAGTTAGACTGTGTGAGGGAATGTGCTGAACTCGCCGTCTTTCTGGCGGTCAAATTCTAGATCCACTGGGACTGCCACTGTTGACACTACCTTCTTGGCCAGACTGGGGAGGAGGGAGAGAGGGAGGAGGAGGAGAGAGGGAGGAGGGAGAGAGGGAGGAGGGAGAGAGGGAGGAGGGAGAGAGGGAGGAGGGAGAGAGGGAGGAGGGAGAGAGGGAGG